GCATCAGAGTCACAGACTGATGGACTGTGTGACTAGCATAGCATCAGAGTCACAGACTGATGGACTGTGTGACTAGCATAGCATCAGAGTCACAGACTGATGGACTGTGTGACTAGCATAGCATCAGAGTCACAGACTGATGGACTGTGTGACTAGCATAGCATCAGAGTCACAGACTGATGGACTGTGTGACTAGCATAGCATCAGAGTCACAGACTGATGGACTGTGTGACTAGCATAGCATCAGAGTCACAGACTGATGGACTGTGTGACTAGCATAGCATCAGAGTCACAGACTGATGGACTGTGTGACTAGCATAGCATCAGAGTCACAGACTGATGGACTGTGTGACTAGCATAGCATCAGAGTCACAGACTGATGGACTGTGTGACTAGCATAGCATCAGAGTCACAGACTGATGGACTGTGTGACTAGCATAGCATCAGAGTCACAGACTGATGGACTGTGTGACTAGCATAGCATCAGAGTCACAGACTGATGGACTGTGTGACTAGCATAGCATCAGAGTCACAGACTGATGGACTGTGTGACTAGCATAGCATCAGAGTCACAGACTGATGGACTGTGTGACTAGCATAGCATCAGAGTCACAGACTGATGGACTGTGTGACTAGCATAGCATCAGAGTCACAGACTGATGGACTGTGTGACTAGCATAGCATCAGAGTCACAGACTGATGGACTGTGTGACTAGCATAGCATCAGAGTCACAGACTGATGGACTGTGTGACTAGCATAGCATCAGAGTCACAGACTGATGGACTGTGTGACTAGCATAGCATCAGAGTCACAGACTGATGGACTGTGTGACTAGCATAGCATCAGAGTCACAGACTGATGGACTGTGTGACTAGCATAGCATCAGAGTCACAGACTGATGGACTGTGTGACTAGCATAGCATCAGAGTCACAGACTGATGGACTGTGTGACTAGCATAGCATCAGTCACAGACTGATGGGACTGTGTGACTAGCATAGCATCAGTCACAGACTGATGGACTGTGTGACTAGCATAGCATCAGTCACAGACTGATGGACTGTGTGACTAGCATAGCATCAGAGTCACAGACTGATGGACTGTGTGACTAGCATAGCATCAGAGTCACAGACTGATGGACTGTGTGACTAGCATAGCATCAGAGTCACAGACTGATGGACTGTGTGACTAGCATAGCATCAGAGTCACAGACTGATGGACTGTGTGACTAGCATAGCATCAGAGTCACAGACTGATGGACTGTGTGACTAGCATAGCATCAGAGTCACAGACTGATGGACTGTGTGACTAGCATAGCATCAGAGTCACAGACTGATGGACTGTGTGACTAGCATAGCATCAGAGTCACAGACTGATGGACTGTGTGACTAGCATAGCATCAGAGTCACAGACTGATGGACTGTGTGACTAGCATAGCATCAGAGTCACAGACTGAGACTGATGGACTGTGTGACTAGCATAGCATCAGAGTCACAGACTGATGGACTGTGTGACTAGCATAGCATCAGAGTCACAGACTGATGGACTGTGTGACTAGCATAGCATCAGAGTCACAGACTGATGGACTGTGTGACTAGCATAGCATCAGAGTCACAGACTGATGGACTGTGTGACTAGCATAGCATCAGAGTCACAGACTGATGGACTGTGTGACTAGCATAGCATCAGAGTCACAGACTGATGGACTGTGTGACTAGCATAGCATCAGAGTCACAGACTGATGGACTGTGTGACTAGCATAGCATCAGAGTCACAGACTGATGGACTGTGTGACTAGCATAGCATCAGAGTCACAGACTGATGGACTGTGTGACTAGCATAGCATCAGAGTCACAGACTGATGGACTGTGTGACTAGCATAGCATCAGAGTCACAGACTGATGGACTGTGTGACTAGCATAGCATCAGAGTCACAGACTGATGGACTGTGTGACTAGCATAGCATCAGAGTCACAGACTGATGGACTGTGTGACTAGCATAGCATCAGAGTCACAGACTGATGGACTGTGTGACTAGCATAGCATCAGAGTCACAGACTGATGGACTGTGTGACTAGCATAGCATCAGAGTCACAGACTGATGGGACTGTGTGACTAGCATAGCATCAGAGTCACAGACTGATGGACTGTGTGACTAGCATAGCATCAGTCACAGACTGATGGACTGTGTGACTAGCATAGCATCAGAGTCACAGACTGATGGACTGTGTGACTAGCATAGCATCAGAGTCACAGACTGATGGACTGTGTGACTAGCATAGCATCAGTCACAGACTGATGGACTGTGTGACTAGCATAGCATCAGAGTCACAGACTGATGGGACTGTGTGACTAGCATAGCATCAGAGTCACAGACTGATGGGACTGTGTGACTAGCATAGCATCAGAGTCACAGACTGATGGGACTGTGTGACTAGCATAGCATCAGTCACAGACTGATGGACTGTGTGACTAGCATAGCATCAGTCACAGACTGATGGACTGTGTGACTAGCATAGCATCAGTCACAGACTGATGGACTGTGTGACTAGCATAGCATCAGAGTCACAGACTGATGGACTGTGTGACTAGCATAGCATCAGTCACAGACTGATGGACTGTGTGACTAGCATAGCATCAGAGCACAGACTGATGGACTGTGTGACTAGCATAGCATCACACAGACTGATGGACTGTGTGACTAGCATAGCATCAGGTCACAGACTGATGGACTGTGTGACTAGCATAGCATCAGAGTCACAGACTGATGGACTGTGTGACTAGCATAGCATCAGTCACAGACTGATGGACTGTGTGACTAGCATAGCATCAGAGCCACAGACTGATGGACTGTGTGACTGCATGTGATGACGATAGCATAGCATCAGAGTCACAGACTGATGGACTGTGTGACTAGCATAGCATCAGAGCACAGACTGATGGACTGTGTGACTAGCATAGCATCAGAGTCACAGACTGATGGACTGTGTGACTAGCATAGCATCAGAGTCACAGACTGATGGACTGTGTGACTAGCATAGCATCAGAGTCACAGACTGATGGACTGTGTGACTAGCATAGCATCAGTCACAGACTGATGGACTGTGTGACTAGCATAGCATCAGAGTCACAGACTGATGGGACTGTGTGACTAGCATAGCATCAGAGCCACAGACTGATGGACTGTGTGACTAGCATAGCATCAGTCACAGACTGATGGGACTGTGTGACTAGCATAGCATCAGAGTCACAGACTGATGGGACTGTGTGACTAGCATAGCATCAGAGTCACAGACTGATGGACTGTGTGACTAGCATAGCATCAGAGCCACAGACTGATGGACTGTGTGACTAGCATAGCATCAGTCACAGACTGATGGACTGTGTGACTAGCATAGCATCAGAGTCACAGACTGATGGACTGTGTGACTAGCATAGCATCAGAGTCACAGACTGATGGACTGTGTGACTAGCATAGCATCAGAGTCACAGACTGATGGACTGTGTGACTAGCATAGCATCAGAGTCACAGACTGATGGACTGTGTGACTAGCATAGCATCAGAGTCACAGACTGATGGACTGTGTGACTAGCATAGCATCAGAGCCACAGACTGATGGGACTGTGTGACTAGCATAGCATCAGAGTCACAGACTGATGGACTGTGTGACTAGCATAGCATCAGAGCACAGACTGATGGACTGTGTGACTAGCATAGCATCAGAGCCACAGACTGATGGACTGTGTGACTAGCATAGCATCAGAGCACAGACTGATGGACTGTGTGACTAGCATAGCATCAGAGCCACAGACTGATGGACTGTGTGACTAGCATAGCATCAGAGTCACAGACTGATGGACTGTGTGACTAGCATAGCATCAGAGTCACAGACTGATGGACTGTGTGACTAGCATAGCATCAGAGTCACAGACTGATGGACTGTGTGACTAGCATAGCATCAGAGCCACAGACTGATGGACTGTGTGACTAGCATAGCATCAGAGTCACAGACTGATGGACTGTGTGACTAGCATAGCATCAGAGTCACAGACTGATGGGACTGTGTGACTAGCATAGCATCAGAGTCACAGACTGATGGGACTGTGTGACTAGCATAGCATCAGAGTCACAGACTGATGGACTGTGTGACTAGCATAGCATCAGAGTCACAGACTGATGGGACTGTGTGACTAGCATAGCATCAGTCACAGTAGCATCAGAGTCACAGACTGATGGGACTGTGTGACTAGCATAGCATCAGAGTCACAGACTGATGGACTGTGTGACTAGCATAGCATCAGTCACAGACTGATGGGACTGTGTGACTAGCATAGCATCAGAGTCACAGACTGATGGACTGTGTGACTAGCATAGCATCAGAGTCACAGACTGATGGACTGTGTGACTAGCATAGCATCAGTCACAGACTGATGGACTGTGTGACTAGCATAGCATCAGAGTCACAGACTGATGGACTGTGTGACTAGCATAGCATCAGAGTCACAGACTGATGGACTGTGTGACTAGCATAGCATCAGAGTCACAGACTGATGGGACTGTGTGACTAGCATAGCATCAGTCACAGACTGATGGACTGTGTGACTAGCATAGCATCAGCACAGACTGATGGACTGTGTGACTAGCATAGCATCAGAGCACAGACTGATGGACTGTGTGACTAGCATAGCATCAGAGTCACAGACTGATGGACTGTGTGACTAGCATAGCATGCATCAGTCACAGACTGATGGACTGTGTGACTAGCATAGCATCAGAGTCACAGACTGATGGACTGTGTGACTAGCATAGCATCAGAGTCACAGACTGATGGACTGTGTGACTAGCATAGCATCAGAGTCACAGACTGATGGACTGTGTGACTAGCATAGCATCAGAGTCACAGACTGATGGGACTGTGTGACTAGCATAGCATCAGAGCCACAGACTGATGGGACTGTGTGACTAGCATAGCATCAGTCACAGACTGATGGACTGTGTGACTAGCATAGCATCAGAGTCACAGACGCCTCACCTCGCAGTCCTTGGCTGAGGTCATAGAATCCAGCCTGGCCCAGCGCCCACATGATGGTCAGACATTTCACTGGACGATTGTGGACAGAGCGCAGCAGCTCCAGATACTGAAACCAGGAAGGAGGAGAACCATGTGTTACTGCACCAGCGACCCTCGGTCAGACGTGAGAGTCATGATCAGGAGGTTGGACTCACCTCGGGCAGGTTCTGAGTCGCGATCTTGGGCTTGTCCTGAAGTATGGCCTGAATACAAACTCTATAACCGTAGAGTGGCTCTCCTGCAAACATAAACAAAGCTAACTCCAAAGCTCAATGCTAATGTCACTTACATTTAAAAATAAACTCCTCTTTCTCTGTCAGTCTGTGGTTTATTGCTCTGCAGGTCCTGATATGTTTATATCCATAATGTCTTAAATCATGATGTAAATCCAAATATGCCCCCTAACTGACCAATCATGGGCTTTCTTTGCTGTCATTCAGGTCCAGACTCGTGCTCAAAAAGGCTGTTCCAATTAGCTCTAAATCGGCATCTTCCCAAAACCAGAAACGCTGTGGATGAATGCTGAGAAACCTTCCTGTTGTGTATGTGTGTGTATTTGTGTGTATGTGTATTCTCCTGGAAAGCAATAGTAATATTAAATGTAAACATTCACCTGACTGTCGGTCCAACTCCCGGAGCATCGTGTAAACACAGTGGTCAAAGAAGTCTGGCAGAGCGTCGCTGCAGCGGCCGAACAAGCCTTTGATCACAGCCTTCAGCTCTTTACTGGTGAGGCAGTATGGGTAATCTGCACAGACACCATAGGAGACAATATCAGTTCTTTACTGGTGAGGCAGTATGGGTAATCTGCACAGACACCATAGGAGACAATATCAGTTCTTTACTGGTGAGGCAGTATGGGTAATCTGCACAGACACCATAGGAGACAATATCAGCTCTTTACTGGTGAGGCAGTATGGGTAATCTGCACAGACACCATAGGAGACAATATCAGCTCTTTACTGGTGAGGCAGTATGGGTAATCTGCACAGACACCAGAGGAGACAATATCAGCTCTTTACTGGTGAGGCAGTATGGGTAATCTGCACAGACACCATAGGAGACAATATCAGCTCTTTACTGGTGAGGCAGTATGGGTAATCTGCACAGACACCAGAGGAGACAATATCAGTTCTTTACTGGTGAGGCAGTATGGGTAATCTGCACAGACACCATAGGAGACAATATCAGCTCTTTACTGGTGAGGCAGTATGGGTAATCTGCACAGACACCATAGGAGACAATATCAGCTCTTTACTGGTGAGGCAGTATGGGTAATCTGCACAGACACCATAGGAGACAATATCAGCTCTTTACTGGTGAGGCAGTATGGGTAATCTGCACAGACACCATAGGAGACAATATCAGTTCTTTACTGGTGAGGCAGTATGGGTAATCTGCACAGACACCATAGGAGACAATATCAGCTCTTTACTGGTGAGGCAGTATGGGTAATCTGCACAGACACCATAGGAGACAATATCAGTTCTTTACTGGTGAGGCAGTATGGGTAATCTGCACAGACACCAGAGGAGACAATATCAGCTCTTTACTGGTGAGGCAGTATGGGTAATCTGCACAGACACCATAGGAGACAATATCAGCTCTTTACTGGTGAGGCAGTATGGGTAATCTGCAAAGACACCATAGGAGACAATATCAGCTCTTTACTGGTGAGGCAGTATGGGTAATCTGCACAGACACCATAGGAGACAATATCAGCTCTTTACTGGTGAGGCAGTATGGGTAATCTGCACAGACACCATAGGAGACAATATCAGCTCTTTACTGGTGAGGCAGTATGGGTAATCTGCACAGACACCATAGGAGACAATATCAGCTCTTTACTGGTGAGGCAGTATGGGTAATCTGCACAGACACCATAGGAGACAATATCAGCTCTTTACTGGTGAGGCAGTATGGGTAATCTGCACAGACACCATAGGAGACAATATCAGCTCTTTACTGGTGAGGCAGTATGGGTAATCTGCACAGACACCATAGGAGACAATATCAGCTCTTTACTGGTGAGGCAGTATGGGTAATCTGCACAGACACCAGAGGAGACAATATCAGCTCTTTACTGGTGAGGCAGTATGGGTAATCTGCACAGACACCATAGGAGACAATATCAGTTCTTTACTGGTGAGGCAGTATGGGTAATCTGCACAGACACCAGAGGAGACAATATCAGTTCTTTACTGGTGAGGCAGTATGGGTAATCTGCACAGACACCAGAGGAGACAATATCAGCTCTTTACTGGTGAGGCAGTATGGGTAATCTGCACAGACACCAGAGGAGACAATATCAGCTCTTTACTGGTGAGGCAGTATGGGTAATCTGCACAGACACCATAGGAGACAATATCAGTTCTTTACTGGTGAGGCAGTATGGGTAATCTGCACAGACACCATAGGAGACAATATCAGCTCTTTACTGGTGAGGCAGTATGGGTAATCTGCACAGACACCAGAGGAGACAATATCAGCTCTTTACTGGTGAGGCAGTATGGGTAATCTGCACAGACACCAGAGGAGACAATATCAGTTCTTTACTGGTGAGGCAGTATGGGTAATCTGCACAGACACCATAGGAGACAATATCAGTTCTTTACTGGTGAGGCAGTATGGGTAATCTGCACAGACACCATAGGAGACAATATCAGTTCTTTACTGGTGAGGCAGTATGGGTAATCTGCACAGACACCAGAGGAGACAATATCAGCTCTTTACTGGTGAGGCAGTATGGGTAATCTGCACAGACACCATAGGAGACAATATCAGTTCTTTACTGGTGAGGCAGTATGGGTAATCTGCACAGACACCATAGGAGACAATATCAGTTCTTTACTGGTGAGGCAGTATGGGTAATCTGCACAGACACCATAGGAGACAATATCAGCTCTTTACTGGTGAGGCAGTATGGGTAATCTGCACAGACACCATAGGAGACAATATCAGCTCTTTACTGGTGAGGCAGTATGGGTAATCTGCACAGACACCAGAGGAGACAATATCAGCTCTTTACTGGTGAGGCAGTATGGGTAATCTGCACAGACACCAGAGGAGACAATATCAGTTCTTTACTGGTGAGGCAGTATGGGTAATCTGCACAGACACCAGAGGAGACAATATCAGCTCTTTACTGGTGAGGCAGTATGGGTAATCTGCACAGACACCATAGGAGACAATATCAGTTCTTTACTGGTGAGGCAGTATGGGTAATCTGCAAAGACACCAGAGGAGACAATATCAGCTCTTTACTGGTGAGGCAGTATGGGTAATCTGCACAGACACCATAGGAGACAATATCAGCTCTTTACTGGTGAGGCAGTATGGGTAATCTGCACAGACACCATAGGAGACAATATCAGTTCTTTACTGGTGAGGCAGTATGGGTAATCTGCACAGACACCATAGGAGACAATATCAGTTCTTTACTGGTGAGGCAGTATGGGTAATCTGCAAAGACACCAGAGGAGACAATATCAGCTCTTTACTGGTGAGGCAGTATGGGTAATCTGCACAGACACCAGAGGAGACAATATCAGTTCTTTACTGGTGAGGCAGTATGGGTAATCTGCACAGACACCATAGGAGACAATATCAGCTCTTTACTGGTGAGGCAGTATGGGTAATCTGCAAAGACACCAGAGGAGACAATATCAGCTCTTTACTGGTGAGGCAGTATGGGTAATCTGCACAGACACCATAGGAGACAATATCAGCTCTTTACTGGTGAGGCAGTATGGGTAATCTGCACAGACACCATAGGAGAGAGCAGGTGTTCAATCAGTGCTGCTTAATAATAATGCATCACTTTTATACAGCACAGCGTAGCGTAGTGTAGCATAGTAGCGTAGCATAGTAGCGTAGTGTAGCATAGTAGCATAGTAGCGTAGCGTAGTAGTGTAGCATAGTAGCATAGTAGCGTAGCGTAGTGTAGCATAGTAGCATAGTAGCGTAGCGTAGTGTAGCATAGTAGCGTAGCGTAGCGTAGTGTAGAAGAGGCCACTGCATCCACAGCTGAAAGGATCGTTGTTGGACCATCTTTCCTTTGTTGTGTTCATATGTGTGTGTGCATCATTCATTCATTTAGTACTTTTTGGGACACTCAAAGACACTTCACATTATTCTTGTGTGTTACCATGTGCGTTACCGTGGGCGTGGCTGTGTGCGTTACCGTGGGCGTGGCTGTGTGCGTTACCGTGGGCGTGGCTGTGTGCGTTACCGTGGGCGTGGCTGTGTGCGTTACCGTGGGCGTGGCTGTGTGCGTTACCGTGGGCGTGGCTGTGTGCGTTACCGTGGGCGTGGCTGTGTGCGTTACCGTGGCTGTGTGTGTTACCGTGGGCGTGGCTGTGTGCGTTACCGTGGCTGTGTGTGTGTTACCGTGGCTGTGTGCGTTACCGTGGGCGTGGCTGTGTGCGTTACCGTGGGCGTGGCTGTGTGCGTTACCGTGGCTGTGTGTGTTACCGTGGGCGTGGCTGTGTGCGTTACCGTGGGCGTGGCTGTGTGCGTTACCGTGGCTGTGTGCGTTACCGTGGGCGTGGCTGTGTGCGTTACCGTGGGCGTGGCTGTGTGCGTTACCGTGGCTGTGTGCGTTACCGTGGGCGTGGCTGTGTGCGTTACCGTGGACGTGGCTGTGTGTGTTACCGTGGGCGTGGCTGTGTGCGTTACCGTGGGCGTGGCTGTGTGAGTTACCGTGGCCGTGGCTGTGTGCGTTACCGTGGGCGTGGCTGTGTGCGTTGCCGTGGGCGTGGCTGTGTGCGTTACCGTGGGCGTGGGCTGTGTGAGTTGCCGTGGGCGTGGCTGTGTGCGTTGCCGTGGGCGTGGCTGTGTGTGTTACCGTGGGCGTGGCTGTGTGTGTTGCCGTGGGCGTGGCTGTGTGCGTTACCGTGGCTGTGTGTGTTACCGTGGCCGTGGCTGTGTGTGTTACCGTGGCCGTGTGCGTTACCGTGGCTGTGTGCGTTACCGTGGGCGTGGCTGTGTGCGTTACCGTGGGCGTGGCTGTGTGCGTTACCGTGGGCGTGGCTGTGTGCGTTACCGTGGGCGTGGCTGTGTGCGTTACCGTGGGCGTGGCTGTGTGCGTTACCGTGGGCGTGGCTGCTGAGCGTGGCTGTGTGCGTTACCGTGGGCGTGGCCGTGTGCGTTGCCGTGGGCGTGGCCGTGTGCGTTGCCGTGGGCGTGGCTGTGTGCGTTGCCGTGGGCGTGGCTGTGTGCGTTGCCGTGGGCGTGGCTGTGTGCGTTACCGTGGGCGTGGCTGTGTGCGTTACCGTGGGCGTGGCTGTGTGCGTTACCGTGGGCGTGGCTGTGTGTGTTACCGTGGGCGTGGCTGCTGAGTGTGGGCGTGGCTGTGTGTGTTACCGTGGGCGTGGCCGTGTGCGTTGCCCATGGGCGTGGTTGTGTGCGTTACCGTGGGCGTGGCTGTGTGCGTTACCGTGGGCGTGGCTGTGTGCGTTACCGTGGGCGTGGCTGCTGAGTGTGGGCGTGGCTGTGTGTGTTACCGTGGGCGTGGCTGCTGAGTGTGGGCGTGGCTGTGTGTGTTACCGTGGCCGTGGCTGTGTGCGTTGCCGTGGGCGTGGCTGTGTGCGTTGCCGTGGGCGTGGCTGTGTGTGCGTTGCCGTGGGCGTGGCTGTGTGCGTTGCCGTGGGCGTGGCTGTGTGCGTTGCCGTGGGCGTGGCTGTGTGCGTTACCGTGGGCGTGGCTGTGTGCGTTACCGTGGGCGTGGCAGTGTGCGTTACCGTGGGCGTGGCTGTGTGCGTTACCGTGGGCGTGGCAGTGTGCGTTACCGTGGGCGTGGCTGTGTGCGTTACCGTGGGCGTGGCTGCTGAGTGTGGGCGTGGCTGTGTGTGTTACCGTGGGCGTGGCTGTGTGTGTTACCGTGGGCGTGGCTGTGTGCGTTACCGTGGGCGTGGCTGTGTGCGTTACCGTGGGCGTGGCTGTGCGTTACCGTGGGCGTGGCTGTGTGTTACCGTGGGCGTGGCTGTGTGTTACCGTGGGCGTGGCTGTGTGTTACCGTGGGCGTGGCTGTGTGTTACCGTGGGCGTGGCTGTGTGCGTTACCGTGGGCGTGGCTGTGTGCGTTACCGTGGGCGTGGCTGTGTGTGTTACCGTGGGCGTGGCTGTGTGTGTTACCGTGGGCGTGGCTGTGTGTTACCGTGGGCGTGGCTGTGTGCGTTACCGTGGGCGTGGCTGTGTGTGTTACCGTGGGCGTGGCTGCTGACCGTGGGCGTGGCTGTGTGTTACCGTGGGCGTGGCTGTGTGTTACCGTGGGCGTGGCTGCTGACCGTGGGCGTGGCTGTGTGTTACCGTGGGCGTGGCTGCTGACCGTGGGCGTGGCTGTGTGTTACCGTGGGCGTGGCTGCTGACCGTGGGCGTGGCTGTGTGTTACCGTGGGCGTGGCTGCTGACCGTGGGCGTGGCTGTGTGTTACCGTGGGCGTGGCTGCTGAGCGTGGGCGTGGCTGTGTGTTACCGTGGGCGTGGCTGCTGACCGTGGGCGTGGCTGTGTGTTACCGTGGGCGTGGCTGCTGACCGTGGGCGTGGCTGTGTGTTACCGTGGGCGTGGCTGCTGACCGTGGGCGTGGCTGTGTGTTACCGTGGGCGTGGCTGCTGACCGTGGGCGTGGCTGTGTGTTACCGTGGGCGTGGCTGCTGACCGTGGGCGTGGCTGTGTGTTACCGTGGGCGTGGCTGCTGAGCGTGGGCGTGGCTGTGTGTTACCGTGGGCGTGGCTGCTGAGCGTGGGCTCGGTCTCGGGCGCCGTCAGGTGGATGTTCAGGTAACCGGCCAGATCTTTGACCCAGACCGAAGGGTTTTCAGGAAACAGCGTCTGACTGCGACACAACTGCTGCTTCAGGTCACACACATCCACCTGAAGGGAACACACACACACTTCAGGTCACACACATCCACCTGAAGGGAACACACACACACTTCAGGTCACACACATCCACCTGAAGGGAACACACACACTTCAGGTCAGACACACACACACACACGCTTCAGGTCAGACACACACACACACGCTTCAGGTCAGACACACACACACACACGCTTCAGGTCAGACACACACACACACGCTTCAGGTCAGACGTAAGGGCCTGCGGTGACCAACACGTTGCACAAGTGACGTCACGTCACCTCCGTAAGCGCCGCTGAGTGTACACTAGGCTTTAGGCGAGGTCTAAGTCTAGGTCTAAGTCTAGGTCTAAGTCTAGGTCTAAGTCTAGGTCTAAGTCTAGGTCTAAGTCTAGGTCTAAGGCGAGGTCTAACGCTAGGTCTAAGGCTAGGTCTAAGTCTAGGTCTAAGTCTAGGTCTAAGTCTAGGTCTAAGTCTAGGTCTAAGGCTAGGTCTAAGTCTAGGTCTAAGGCTAGGTCTAAGTCTAGGTCTAAGTCTAGGTCTAAGGCTAGGTCTAAGGCTAGGTCTAAGTCTAGGTCTAAGGCTAGGTCTAAGGCTAGGTCTAAGTCTAGGTCTAAGTCTAGGTCTAAGGCTAGGTCTAAGTCTAGGTCTAAGTCTAGGTCTAAGTCTAGGTCTAAGTCGAGGTCTAAGTCGAGGTCTAAGTCTAGGTCTAAGTCTAGGTCTAAGTCTAGGTCTAAGTCTAAGATGAATAGAATGGAATCAGAGGAACATGAGCCCTGAGAGTGTGGACAGAGCAGAGAGAACACGGAACCATCTGAGCTTTGATCACGGTTCAAGATGCTCCACATGAACCAAAGTCCAAGTGTTCAGTGAAAAGAACAAAGCAGTTACACAATATGTTCAAAAGTTCAAATAGTTGTATAAAAAGAAAGAATAGATTTACTCTGAAAAGCAGCTGGATGCTCTTCCTGTGCAAACGTAAAGAGACAAAAGGACACAACTAGAAAAACTATGAAAGTATAAAAATCACTAAAACTAGATTCACTTTGATTGTGTTGCTCTGTGTGTGTCTTTGTGTTATGTGTGTTTTCAAAGCAGTGAGTCCACATTTCATTGGACAGTCTCTTGAATCACTGTCCTTTGACCATTCTGCGTCGGCAAAGAACCAAAACCCAGAGGGGACAGTGTTAAAACCTTGAGAGAGGATATGCAATAGAAATCAAAGGGACATAAGAAGGAGAACGTATAGAACACTTACGGCTCTGAAGGCGTCCTCCAGGCTCCTGTGCTTGGTCAGGATCAAAGGGACATAAGGAGAACGTATAGAACACTTACGGCTCTGAAGGCGTCCTCCAGGCTCCTGTGCTTGGCCGGGATCAAAGGGACATAAGGAGAAGGTATAGAACACTTACGGCTCTGAAGGCGTCCTCCAGGCTCCGGTGCTTGGTCAGGATCAAAGGGACATAAGGAGAAGGTATAGAACACTTACGGCTCTGAAGGCGTCCTCCAGGCTCCGGTGCTTGGTCAGGATGAAAGGGACATAAGGAGAAGGTATAGAACACTTACGGCTCTGAAGGCGTCCTCCAGGCTCCTGTACTTGGTCAGGATCAAAGGGACATAAGGAGAAGGTATAGAACACTTACGGCTCTGAAGGCGTCCTCCAGGCTCCTGTACTTGGTCAGGATGAAAGGGACATAAGGAGAAGGTATAGAACACTTACGGCTCTGAAGGCGTCCTCCAGGCTCCTGTGCTTGGTCAGGATCAAAGGGACATAAGGAGAAGGTATAGAACACTTACGGCTCTGAAGGCGTCCTCCAGGCTCCTGTGCTTGGTCAGGATCAAAGGGACATAAGGAGAAGGTATAGAACACTTACGGCTCTGAAGGCGTCCTCCAGGCTCCTGTGCTTGGCCGGGATCAAAGGGACATAAGGAGAACGTATAGAACACTTACGGCTCTGAAGGCGTCCTCCAGGCTCCGGTGCTTGGTCAGGATCAAAGGGACATAAGGAGAAGGTATAGAACACTTACGGCTCTGAAGGCGTCCTCCAGGCTCCTGTGCTTGGTCAGGATCAAAGGGACATAAGGAGAAGGTATAGAACACTTACGGCTCTGAAGGCGTCCTCCAGGCTCCTGTGCTTGGTCAGGATCAAAGGGACATAAGGAGAAGGTATAGAACACTTACGGCTCTGAAGGCGTCCTCCAGGCTCCTGTACTTGGTCAGGATCAAAGGGACATAAGGAGAAGGTATAGAACACTTACGGCTCTGAAGGCGTCCTCCAGGCTCCTGTGCTTGGTCAGGATCAAAGGGACATAAGGAGAAGGTATAGAACACTTACGGCTCTGAAGGCGTCCTCCAGGCTCCTGTACTTGGTCAGGATCAAAGGGACATAAGGAGAACGTATAGAACACTTACGGCTCTGAAGGCGTCCTCCAGGCTCCTGTGCTTGGTCAGGATCAAAGGGACATAAGGGAGAACGTATAGAACACTTACGGCTCTGAAGGCGTCCTCCAGGCTCCTGTGCTTGGTCAGGATCAAAGGGACATAAGGAGAAGGTATAGAACACTTACGGCTCTGAAGGCGTCCTCCAGGCTCCTGTGCTTGGTCAGGATCAAAGGGACATAAGGAGAACGTATAGAACACTTACGGCTCTGAAGGCGTCCTCCAGGCTCCTGTGCTTGGTCAGGATCAAAGGGACATAAGGAGAAGGTATAGAACACTTACGGCTCTGAAGGCGTCCTCCAGGCTCCTGTGCTTGGTCAGGATCAAAGGGACATAAGGAGAAGGTATAGAACACTTACGGCTCTGAAGGCGTCCTCCAGGCTCCTGTACTTGGTCAGGATGAAAGGGACATAAGGAGAAGGTATAGAACACTTACGGCTCTGAAGGCGTCCTCCAGGCTCCTGTGCTTGGTCAGGATCAAAGGGACATAAGGAGAACGTATAGAACACTTACGGCTCTGAAGGCGTCCTCCAGGCTCCTGTGCTCCAAGGATGTGCAACTTGAGTCTCAGGATCAAAGGGACATAAGGAGAAGTATAGAACACTTACGGCTCTGAAGGCGTCCTCCAGGCTCCTGTGCTTGGTCAGGATCAAAGGGACATAAGGAGAACGTATAGAACACTTACGGCTCTGAAGGCGTCCTCCAGGCTCCTGTGCTTGGTCAGGATCAAAGGGACATAAGGAGAACGTATAGAACACTTACGGCTCTGAAGGCGTCCTCCAGGCTCCTGTGCTTGGTCAGGATCAAAGGGACATAAGGAGAACGTATAGAACACTTACGGCTCTGAAGGCGTCCTCCAGGCTCCTGTGCTTGGTCAGGATCAAAGGGACATAAGGAGAACGTATAGAACACTTACGGCTCTGAAGGCGTCCTCCAGGCTCCTGTGCTTGGTCAGGATCAAAGGGACATAAGGAGAACGTATAGAACACTTACGGCTCTGAAGGCGTCCTCCAGGCTCCTGTGCTTGGTCAGGATCAAAGGGACATAAGGAGAAGTATAGAACACTTACGGCTCTGAAGGCGTCCTCCAGGCTCCTGTGCTTGGTCAGGATCAAAGGGACATAAGGAGAAGGTATAGAACACTTACGGCTCTGAAGGCGTCCTCCAGGCTCCTGTGCTTGGTCAGGATCAAAGGGACATAAGGAGAACGTATAGAACACTTACGGCTCTGAAGGCGTCCTCCAGGCTCCTGTGCTTGGTCAGGATCAAAGGGACATAAGGAGAACGTATAGAACACTTACGGCTCTGAAGGCGTCCTCCAGGCTCCTGTGCTTGGTCAGGATCAAAGGGACATAAGGAGAACGTATAGAACACTTACGGCTCTGAAGGCGTCCTCCAGGCTCCTGTGCTTGGCCGGGATCAAAGGGACATAAGGAGAAGGTATAGAACACTTACGGCTCTGAAGGCGTCCTCCAGGCTCCTGTGCTTGGTCAGGATCAAAGGGACATAAGGAGAAGGTATAGAACACTTACGGCTCTGAAGGCGTCCTCCAGGCTCCTGTACTTGGTCAGGATCAAAGGGACATAAGGAGAAGGTATAGAACACTTACGGCTCTGAAGGCGTCCTCCAGGCTCCTGTGCTTGGTCAGGATCAAAGGGACATAAGGAGAAGGTATAGAACACTTACGGCTCTGAAGGCGTCCTCCAGGCTCCTGTGCTTGGCCGGGATCAAAGGGACATAAGGAGAAGGTATAGAACACTTACGGCTCTGAAGGCGTCCTCCAGGCTCCTGTGCTTGGTCAGGATCAAAGGGACATAAGGAGAAGGTATAGAACACTTACGGCTCTGAAGGCGTCCTCCAGGCTCCTGTGCTTGGTCGGATCAAAGGGACATAAGGAGAAGGTATAGAACACTTACGGCTCTGAAGGCGTCCTCCAGGCTCCTGTGCTTGGTCAGGATCAAAGGGACATAAGGAGAAGGTATAGAACACTTACGGCTCTGAAGGCGTCCTCCAGGCTCCTGTGCTTGGCCGGGATCAAAGGGACATAAGGAGAAGGTATAGAACACTTACGGCTCTGAAGGCGTCCTCCAGGCTCCTGTGCTTGGTCAGGATCAAAGGGACATAAGGAGAAGGTATAGAACACTTACGGCTCTGAAGGCGTCCTCCAGGCTCCTGTGCTTGGTCAGGATCAAAGGGACATAAGGAGAAGGTATAGAACACTTACGGCTCTGAAGGCGTCCTCCAGGCTCCTGTGCTTGGTCAGGATCAAAGGGACATAAGGAGAAGGTATAGAACATTACGGCTCTGAAGGCGTCCTCCAGGCTCCTGTGCTTGGTCAGGATCAAAGGGACATAAGGAGAAGGTATAGAACACTTACGGCTCTGAAGGCGTCCTCCAGGCTCCTGTGCTTGGTCAGGATCAAAGGGACATAAGGAGAAGGTATAGAACACTTACGGCTCTGAAGGCGTCCTCCAGGCTCCTGTGCTTGGTCAGGATCAAAGGGACATAAGGAGAAGGTATAGAACACTTACGGCTCTGAAGGCGTCCTCCAGGCTCCTGTGCTTGGTCAGGATCAAAGGGACATAAGGAGAACGTATAGAACACTTACGGCTCTGAAGGCGTCCTCCAGGCTCCTGTGCTTGGTCAGGATCAAAGGGACATAAGGAGAAGGTATAGAACACTTACGGCTCTGAAGGCGTCCTCCAGGCTCCTGTGCTTGGTCAGGATCAAAGGGACATAAGGAGAAGGTATAGAACACTTACGGCTCTGAAGGCGTCCTCCAGGCTCCTGTGCTTGGTCAGGATCAAAGGGACATAAGGAGAAGGTATAGAACACTTACGGCTCTGAAGGCGTCCTCCAGGCTCTTGTGCTTGGTCAGGATCAAAGGGACATAAGGAGAAGGTATAGAACACTTACGGCTCTGAAGGCGTCCTCCAGGCTCCTGTGCTTGGTCAGGATCAAAGGGACATAAGGAGAAGGTATAGAACACTTACGGCTCTGAAGGCGTCCTCCAGGCTCCTGTGCTTGGCCGGGATCAAAGGGACATAAGGAGAAGGTATAGAACACTTACGGCTCTGAAGGCGTCCTCCAGGCTCCTGTGCTTGGTCCGGGATCAAAGGGACATAAGGAGAAGGTATAGAACACTTACGGCTCTGAAGGCGTCCTCCAGGCTCCTGTGCTTGGTCAGGATCAAAGGGACATAGGAAGAACATCGCTAGGGTCTCCAGGCTCTGTGCTTGGTCAGGATCAAAGGGACATAAGGAGAAGGTATAGAACACTTACGGCTCTGAAGGCGTCCTCCAGACTCCTGTACTTGGTCAGGATCAAAGGGACATAAGGAGAAGGTATAGAACACTTACGGCTCTGAAGGCGTCCTCCAGGCTCCTGTGCTTGGCCGGGATCAAAGGGACATAAGGAGAACGTATAGAACACTTACGGCTCTGAAGGCGTCCTCCAGGCTCCTGTGCTTGGTCAGGATCAAAGGGACATAAGGAGAAGGTATAGAACACTTACGGCTCTGAAGGCGTCCTCCAGGCTCCTGTGCTTGGTCAGGATCAAAGGGACATAAGGAGAACGTATAGAACACTTACGGCTCTGAAGGCGTCCTCCAGGCTCCTGTGCTTGGCCGGGATCAAAGGGACATAAGGAGAACGTATAGAACACTTACGGCTCTGAAGGCGTCCTCCAGGCTCCTGTGCTTGGCCGGGATCAAAGGGACATAAGGAGAACGTATAGAACACTTACGGCTCTGAAGGCGTCCTCCAGGCTCCTGTGCTTGGCCGGGATCAAAGGGACATAAGGAGAACGTATAGAACACTTACGGCTCTGAAGGCGTCCTCCAGGCTCCTGTGCTTGGTCAGGATCAAAGGGACATAAGGAGAAGGTATAGAACACTTACGGCTCTGAAGGCGTCCTCCAGGCTCCTGTGCTTGGTCAGGATCAAAGGGACATAAGGAGAACGTATAGAACACTTACGGCTCTGAAGGCGTCCTCCAGGCTCCTGTGCTTGGCCGGGATCAAAGGGACATAAGGAGAACGTATAGAACACTTACGGCTCTGAAGGCGTCCTCCAGGCTCCTGTGCTTGGTCAGGATCAAAGGGACATAAGGAGAAGGTATAGAACACTTACGGCTCTGAAGGCGTCCTCCAGGCTCCTGTGCTTGGTCAGGATCAAAGGGACATAAGGAGAAGGTATAGAACACTTACGGCTCTGAAGGCGTCCTCCAGGCTCCTGTGCTTGGCCGGGATCAAAGGGACATAAGGAGAACGTATAGAACACTTACGGCTCTGAAGGCGTCCTCCAGGCTCCGGTGCTTGGTCAGGATCAAAGGGACATAAGGAGAACGTATAGAACACTTACGGCTCTGAAGGCGTCCTCCAGGCTCCTGTGCTTGGTCAGGATCAAAGGGACATAAGGAGAAGGTATAGAACACTTACGGCTCTGAAGGCGTCCTCCAGGCTCCTGTGCTTGGTCAGGATCAAAGGGACATAAGGAGAAGGTATAGAACACTTACGGCTCTGAAGGCGTCCTCCAGGCTCCTGTGCTTGGCCGGGATCAAAGGGACATAAGGAGAACGTATAGAACACTTACGGCTCTGAAGGCGTCCTCCAGGCTCCTGTGCTTGGTCAGGATCAAAGGGACATAAGGAGAAGGTATAGAACACTTACGGCTCTGAAGGCGTCCTCCAGGCTCCTGTGCTTGGCCGGGGAGCCTGAGGAGCCTGAGGAGCCTGAGGAGCTGGACAGGACTTTCTTGGCTGGTTTTGTTGGCGCTGGTTTCTTGGTCTGAGTCTCCGCTGGGGGTGGGACCTGTTCTTTGTTTTGCTTCTTTGCCATTTTGTCAAAGTTCTCGAACAGCGTCTCGGACATCTTTAAAGCTGAAAGACATAAAATGGGTAAACCGTCAAACTCTGAAGTTATGAAAATAGATTTGAGTCACGACCTTCTCTCTCACAAACCACTTATTGTACTCCCGCCGAGTATTACGCAATGAGTGACTCCACAGCTAAGTAGCAACAGTATTTAAAGTATTTAGAAGAGAAATTAGCAATCAACAATACAAAGCTTTTTGGAAACTCAGTCACTTTACCAAACATTGAAGAACAAAATCAAGGGAAGGCAGAGAGAAGTTGAGAGAGTGGATGGTTGGGGTCATAATGAAAGACATCTCAATTCAATGTTGTTTTTGTGTAGGCCTGAATCACAACAGCAGCGGTCTCCAATATCCAAAATATCAGAATCAAACACAATGGACACATTGGTTCATAGGGAGCGGGATGTCCATAAACTGCAGCCTCTCCCACTGTCCCTGACTCAGGTTGCCAGATATGCAGACGAATCCAGCTGGGACCATAACAGCTGAATAGACAAGAGTTTTGTCAACAACAAATCTATAACCAACACCTTTTTCACAAAGATAGAAATCCTGGTTTTATTCCTTGTTTTGTCGTTAATGATTTGAGAATCATAACGAGACCTTTTTTAGTTCTGCGCCACATGGTACTTTACCAGTGAGATTAGCTCCACATGGTACTTTACCAGTGAGATTAGCTCCACATGGTACTTTACCAGTGACATTAGCTCTACATGGTACTTTACCAGTGACATTAGCTCTACATGGTACTTTACCAGTGAGATTAGCTCCACATGGTACTTTACCAGTGAGATTAGCTCCACATGGTACTTTACCAGTGAGATTAGCTCCACGTGGTACTTTACCAGTGAGATTAGCTCCACGTGGTACTTTACCAGTGAGATTAGCTCCACATGGTACTTTACCAGTGAGATTAGCTCCACGCGGTGAGTTCTGGCGCCCGGATCACAAACTTTCTGATTGGTGAAACGGTGGAGGGCGGGACATCGAAATGAAAACAATAACAAGATTTAGAGGCTGGAAAAGTAATTTAGAAATTCAAATATCTTTGAACTACTGTTATCAGTTAAAGAAGTATTATTATTATGACAGATTAGGGCCCTTTAATGATGACACAAAAATCTTACATATAGATACTAAAAAATCACACAAGTAGCAAATGTGTATCAGATTGTGTTGACGGTGCAGATAGAAGAATGAATAGAGAAGCCCCAGGCGGCGAGCAGGCGGCGAGCAGGCGGCGAGCAGGCGGCGAGCAGCCGGCGAGCAGGCGGCGAGCAGCCGGCGAGCAGGCGGCGAGCAGCCCGTGGTCCTGACAGCTGCTGACAGAGGGCACCAGTTGCTCTGGGTTCATTCAGATCCTTCACTAAAACTATGTGGGTCAGTCCGGTCTACAGCCTCAGTCCGGTCTACAGCCTCAGTCTGGGTCTACAGCCTCAGTCCTGGGTCTACAGCCTCAGTCCTGGGTCTACAGCCTCAGTCCGGTCTACAGCCTCAGTCTGGGTCTACAGCCTCAGTCCTGGGTCTACAGCCTCAGTCCTGGGTCTACAGCCTCAGTCCGGTCTACAGCCTCAGTCCGGTCTACAGCCTCAGTCCGGTCTACAGCCTCAGTCCGGTCTGCAGCCTCAGTCCTGGGTCTGCAGCCTCAGTCCTGGGTCTGCAGCCTCAGTCCTGGGTCTGCAGCCTCAGTCCTGGGTCCGCAGCCTCAGTCCTGGGTCCGCAGCCTCAGTCCTGGGTCCGCAGCCTCAGTCCTGGGTCCGCAGCCTCAGTCCTGGGTCTACAGCCTCAGTCCTGGGTCTACAGCCTCAGTCCTGGGTCTATAGTCTCAGTCCTGGGTCTACAGCCTCAGTCCTGGGTCTACAGCCTCAGTCCTGGGTCTACAGCCTCAGTCCTGGGTCTACAGCCTCAGTCCTGGGTCTACAGCCTCAGTCCTGGGTCTACAGCCTCAGTCCTGGGTCTACAGCCTCAGTCCTGGGTCTACAGCCTCAGTCCTGGGTCTACAGCCTCAGTCCTGGATCTACAGCCTCAGTCCTGGGTCTGCAGCCTCAGTCCTGGGTCTACAGCCTCAGTCCTGGATCTACAGCCTCAGTCCTGGGTCTACAGCCTCAGTCCTGGGTCTACAGCCTCAGTCCTGGGTCTACAGCCTCAGTCCTGGGTCTACAGCCTCAGTCCTGGGTCTACAGCCTCAGTCCTGGGTCTACAGCCTCAGTCCTGGGTCTACAGCCTCAGTCCTGGGTCTACAGCCTCAGTCCTGGGTCTACAGCCTCAGTCCTGGGTCTACAGCCTCAGTCCTGGGTCTACAGCCTCAGTCCTGGGTCTACAGCCTCAGTCCTGGGTCTACAGCCTCAGTCCTGGGTCTACAGCCTCAGTCCTGGGTCTACAGCCTCAGTCCTGCGTCTACAGCCTCAGTCCTGGGTCTACAGCCTCAGTCCTGGGTCTACAGCCTCAGTCCTGGGTCTACAGCCTCAGTCCTGGGTCTACAGCCTCAGTCCTGGGTCTACAGCCTCAGTCCTGGGTCTACAGCCTCAGTCCTGGGTCTACAGCCTCAGTCCTGGGTCTACAGCCTCAGTCCTGGGTCTACAGCCTCAGTCCTGGGTCTACAGCCTCAGTCCTGGGTCTACAGCCTCAGTCCTGGGTCTACGGCCTCAGTCCTGGGTCTACGGCCTCAGTCCTGGGTCTACGGCCTCAGTCCTGGGTCTACGGCCTCAGTCCTGGGTCTACGGCCTCAGTCCTGGGTCTACAGCCTCAGTCCTGGGTCTACAGCCTCAGTCCTGGGTCTACAGCCTCAGTCCTGGGTCTACAGCCTCAGTCCTGGGTCTACGGCCTCAGTCCTGGGTCTGCGGCCTCAGTCCTGGGTCTACAGCCTCAGTCCTGGTCTACAGCCTCAGTCCTGGGTCTACAGCCTCAGTCCTGGGTCTGCAGGCCTCAGTCCTGGGTCTGCGGCCTCAGTCCTGGGTCTACAGCCTCAGTCCTGGGTCTACAGCCTCAGTCCTGGGTCTACAGCCTCAGTCCTGGATCTACAGCCTCAGTCCTGGGTCTACAGCCTCAGTCCTGGGTCTACAGCCTCAGTCCTGGGTCTACAGCCTCAGTCCTGGGTCTACAGCCTCAGTCCTGGGTCTACAGCCTCAGTCCTGGGTCTACAGCCTCAGTCCTGGGTCTACAGCCTCAGTCCTGGGTCTACAGCCTCAGTCCTGGGTCTACAGCCTCAGTCCTGGGTCTACGGCCTCAGTCCTGGGTCTACAGCCTCAGTCCTGGGTCTACAGCCTCAGTCCTGGTCTACAGCCTCAGTCCTGGGTCTACAGCCTTAGTCCTGGGTCTACAGCCTCAGTCCTGGGTCTGCGGCCTCAGTCCTGGGTCTACAGCCTCAGTCCTGGTCTACAGCCTCAGTCCTGGGTCTACAGCCTTAGTCCTGGGTCTACAGCCTCAGTCCTGGGTCTACAGCCTCAGTCCTGGGTCTACAGCCTCAGTCCTGGGTCTGCAGCCTCAGTCCTGGGTCTGCAGCCTCAGTCCTGGGTCTACAGCCTCAGTCCTGGGTCTACAGCCTCAGTCCTGGTCTACAGCCTCAGTCCTGGGTCTACAGCCTTAGTCCTGGGTCTACAGCCTCAGTCCTGGGTCTGCGGCCTCAGTCCTGGGTCTACAGCCTCAGTCCTGGTCTACAGCCTCAGTCCTGGGTCTACAGCCTTAGTCCTGGGTCTACAGCCTCAGTCCTGGGTCTACAGCCTCAGTCCTGGGTCTACAGCCTCAGTCCTGGGTCTACAGCCTCAGTCCTGGGTCTACAGCCTCAGTCCTGGGTCTACAGCCTCAGTCCTGGGTCTACAGCCTCAGTCCTGGGTCTACAGCCTCAGTCCTGGGTCTACAGCCTCAGTCCTGGGTCTACAGCCTCAGTCCTGGGTCTACAGCCTCAGTCCTGGGTCTACAGCCTTAGTCCTGGGTCTACAGCCTCAGTCCTGGGTCTGCGGCCTCAGTCCTGGGTCTACAGCCTCAGTCCTGGTCTACAGCCTCAGTCCTGGGTCTACAGCCTCAGTCCTGGGTCTACAGCCTCAGTCCTGGGTCTACAGACTCAGTCCTGGGTCTACAGCCTCAGTCCTGGGTCTACAGCCTCAGTCCTGGGTCTACAGCCTCAGTCCTGGGTCTACAGCCTCAGTCCTGGTCTACAGCCTCAGTCCTGGATCTACAGCCTCAGTCCTGGGTCTACAGCCTCAGTCCTGGGTCTACAGCCTCAGTCCTGGGTCTACAGCCTCAGTCCTGGGTCTGCGGCCTCAGTCCTGGGTCTGCGGCCTCAGTCCTGGGTCTACAGCCTCAGTCCTGGGTCTACAGCCTCAGTCCTGCGTCTACAGCCTCAGTCCTGGGTCTACAGCCTCAGTCCTGGGTCTACAGCCTCAGTCCTGGGTCTACAGACTCAGTCCTGGGTCTACAGCCTCAGTCCTGGGTCTACAGCCTCAGTCCTGGGTCTACAGCCTCAGTCCTGGGTCTACAGCCTCAGTCCTGGGTCTGCAGCCTCAGTCCTGGGTCTGCAGCCTCAGTCCTGGGTCTACAGCCTCAGTCCTGGGTCTACAGCCTCAGTCCTGAGTCTACAGCCTCAGTCCTGGGTCTACAGCCTCAGTCCTGGGTCTACAGCCTCAGTCCTGGGTCTACAGCCTCAGTCCTGGGTCTACAGCCTCAGTCCTGGGTCTACAGCCTCAGTCCTGGGTCTACAGCCTCAGTCCTGGGTCTACAGCCTCAGTCCTGGGTCTACAGCCTCAGTCCTGGGTCTACAGCCTCAGTCCTGGGTCTACAGCCTCAGTCCTGGGTCTACAGCCTCAGTCCTGGGTCTACAGCCTCAGTCCTGGGTCTACAGCCTCAGTCCTGGGTCTACAGCCTCAGTCCTGGGTCTACAGCCTCAGTCCTGGGTCTACAGCCTCAGTCCTGGGTCTACAGCCTCAGTCCTGGGTCTACAGCCTCAGTCCTGGGTCTACAGCCTCAGTCCTGGGTCTACAGCCTCAGTCCTGGGTCTACAGCCTCAGTCCTGGGTCTACAGCCTCAGTCCTGGGTCTACAGCCTCAGTCCTGGGTCTACAGCCTCAGTCCTGGGTCTACAGCCTCAGTCCTGGGTCTACAGCCTCAGTCCTGGGTCTACAGCCTCAGTCCTGGGTCTACAGCCTCAGTCCTGGTCTACAGCCTCAGTCCTGGGTCTACAGCCTCAGTCCTGGGTCTACAGCCTCAGTCCTGGGTCTACAGCCTCAGTCCTGGGTCTACAGCCTCAGTCCTGGGTCTACAGCCTCAGTCCTGGGTCTACAGCCTCAGTCCTGGGTCTACAGCCTCAGTCCTGGGTCTACAGCCTCAGTCCTGGGTCTACAGCCTCAGTCCTGGGTCTACAGCCTCAGTCCTGGGTCTACAGCCTCAGTCCTGGGTCTACAGCCTCAGTCCTGGGTCTACAGCCTCAGTCCTGGGTCTACAGCCTCAGTCCTGGGTCTGCAGCCTCAGTCCTGGGTCTGCAGCCTCAGTCCTGGGTCTCAGCAGCCTCAGTCCTGGGTCTACAGCCTCAGTCCTGAGTCTACAGCCTCAGTCCTGGGTCTACAGCCTCAGTCCTGGGTCTACAGCCTCAGTCCTGGGTCTACAGCCTCAGTCCTGGGTCTACAGCCTCAGTCCTGGGTCTACAGCCTCAGTCCTGGGTCTACAGCCTCAGTCCTGGGTCTACAGCCTCAGTCCTGGGTCTACAGCCTCAGTCCTGGGTCTACAGCCTCAGTCCTGGGTCTACAGCCTCAGTCCTGGGTCTACAGCCTCAGTCCTGGGTCTACAGCCTCAGTCCTGGGTCTGCAGCCTCAGTCCTGGGTCTGCAGCCTCAGTCCTGGGTCTACAGCCTCAGTCCTGGGTCTGCAGCCTCAGTCCTGGGTCTACAGCCTCAGTCCTGGGTCTACAGCCTCAGTCCTGGGTCTACAGCCTCAGTCCTGGGTCTACAGCCTCAGTCCTGGGTCTACAGCCTCAGTCCTGGGTCTACAGCCTCAGTCCTGGGTCTGCAGCCTCAGTCCTGGGTCTGCAGCCTCAGTCCTGGGTCTACAGCCTCAGTCCTGGGTCTACAGCCTCAGTCCTGGGTCTGCAGCCTCAGTCCTGGGTCTACAGCCTCAGTCCTGGGTCTACAGCCTCAGTCCTGGGTCTACAGCCTCAGTCCTGGGTCTACAGCCTCAGTCCTGGGTCTACAGCCTCAGTCCTGGGTCTACAGCCTCAGTCCTGGGTCTACAGCCTCAGTCCTGGGTCTGCAGCACAGTTAGACACATGGTGGTTCCGGTATTCATGATTCTGTCAGTAATTACACATGTGTTCACTGGTTCTTGGTCAAAGACAAAGGAAAAGGATGTTAGAGAGTCAGAGTGATGACGATGCTCTGTTGATACTTGGCTAACATCATGCTAACTGTTAGCATGCTATTGCGTTAGCATGCTAACTGTTAGCATGCTATTGCGTTAGCATGCTAACTGTTAGCATGCTATTGCGTTAGCATGCTAACGTCTCCTCTTCAGTAAAAGTTCCTTTATTAAAACACTTCTCTGGGAGGAAAGAGCAGGTGGTAGAAGCAGAGGGTCAGTAACAGAGATGATGCTTTTACTGCACATGAGTTGGACTCAGTAGAACCATTAGAACCATGTCCTGTTCTGTTTCAGTGACAGCTCAGAGTCTAGACTTTAAATGTGTTCGAATCTCTGCAAAGGCCAGTCCTCGGTCAGACTCTGGCGGAGACAGTATTACAGTAATATATAGTAATATATAGGTTAGTGATATAGTTGTAGAGGGGCCGCAGACACTCACGTTTGGCCTGCTGTAGGTTCGACTCCCCCAGAGCTTTTCGAGCTCCATTCTTCTTATCACTGGGGTTTTTAGTCCCTCCGGGGTTGCTGCTCTTCTTTCCCTTCTTCACCACTTCCCATTTCCCCGCAGACGCATTGTTTGAAGCCATTGTTTGTCCAGAACAGAGAGTTTGTGAATGTGACTGGACCTGAGCCTCAAAGCGCTGTGGGCTGCACTTCCTGTTCACGTCACGTCAGCGTATACGTCAGCGTCGCGTTACGTCAGCGTGCCACGTCTCTCTGCGGCGTGACGTAGACACTTTCAAAAGTCTGTGCTATTATTTATTGGTAACAAAACTCTAAAACCAGAGACATTGCTTTAGACCTCCCAGAGCCGTCATTCTGCTCTCACTCAAACCTATGAATATTGAACATTTACAAAAATGTTTCCATCGGTTTTATTCAAAGTCATTTTTAAGGTTTTAACCTTTAGTTCTTTTAATAAGAACTAAAACTGATGAATACAACTTTAAATACAGAAAAACAGTTTGGTGAAAGGCTATAAGATGCTAACTGGTAAGCTAATGGTCTGGACCAGTGTAAAACCATGAATCCTCTCTGCTCTGGTCTGGACCAGTGTAAAACCATGAATCCTCTCTGCTCTGGTCTGGACCAGGGTTAGGGCTCGGGTCTGGACTCGCTGCAGTTTCCGGATCATTCAAGCCGAGCAGTAGAAGTGAATAATAATGAACTGTTTTATATACATAAAGAATCTTTATCTTCTACATAAACTAAGTTTTAATATAAACCCTTTTTTCCCTTCTTTTCATGTTTCTATGTATTCTCTCTTCGCACAGATGGACTACTGTGTGCCACAGCTGCCCTGGGGCAGGAAACCAGGAGCTAACTGCTGGTGCTTTGTTGATTCCGCTGCAGGTTTTCGTGCTGTTGCCACGGCGACAGATGGATCAAAGTGTCTGGCCATGGAGTACGGAGGAGAGCAGTCACTCAACGACATGATCGAGAGGCGGCGAGAGGACGGTCTGAAAGCCTTTCCTGCCGCCAACATCGAGAAAGTGGCGCTGCATGTGGCTCGCGGGTCTGAAGGTGACTGGACTGTCGTAGTTTCACGGTTTGACCGAACCGGTTCTGGTTCTGAAGTCTAGTTTATTTCATCACAGAGTTTGTAATACTTTGTTTACATTTCAGTGCTACTGTGTCACGTGAACAAGATAATCTGGTCATTTTCCAAAATAAAGGATGGTTTAGACTTGGAAAATAAATACGGAAAATATTTGTTCTCTTTGGACCCGGGAGTTTTGGGGACATGGGTCTATGATAATAACTGGATAGAGTGTTACAGCTTGGAGCTGAAGGACCATGTGCTCAGGGGATTCTCGTGGTACTGCAGACTACACAGCACCATCTTGGATCATCTTGGATCACGGGGCTTGGTTGGAGACCAGTAGACGACATATTGTCCTTCAAAGGCTGCCGTAGCTGTAATACTTATTGTGAACTGTGTGGCGCTAGAGAGCTGACTGCGATGAATGATCCCTGATCATAGAAGGCAGTGTGTCTTTAAGATCCATCTGTGAGAGGGGCTCTCCTTCATAAAACTCTGAATAACAAACTAAGAAACATATTTTAGCTGCAGGACAGACGTGAGCGAGTGAGAGTTTGGACATTTGTTTCAAAAAACAAAAGCCTTCCACAGTTAATAAAAGGAATGAGGCTGTATTCATTCAGTTTTCAGTGATATTCAGGTTAAGTAACACTTTACTGGGCTAATGGAGCTAAGTTAGAACCTCTGCAGTGATTGGTCGATATGACGTTCCAAACATATTCTAAAAAGTAATTTATTATTATTATTTTAGTATCTTCACAATGAGAAGAAGCTGCTTCACGGCGACATGAAATCCTGCAACGTGGTCATTAAAGGAGACTTCGAGACGGTCAAGATCTGCGACGTGGGCGTGTCCCTGTTTCTGGATGAGAACATGAAAGGTGAGAATAATCCTAATCCTCTCTAGAGCCTCATCAAGAAACTCTGCTGGAACATGTCGCCATCTAATCTACAACCTAATCTAGAGTAATCTAATCTAGAGTCTAATCTAATCTAGGGTGTAATCTAGAACCTAATCTAGAGTCTAATCTAATCTAGAACCTAATCTAATCTAATCTAGAGTCTAATCTAGGGTCTAATCTACAACCTAATCTAGAGTCTAATCTAATCTAGAACCTAATCTAATCTAGAGTCTAATCTAGAACCTAATCTAGGGTCTAATCTACAACCTAATCTAGAGTCTAATCTAATCTAGAACCTAATCTAGGGTCTAATCTAGTTTTATTTTAGAGTCCAGACACAGATGTATTTGGCTGTTCCAACTGTAACTCCCCGCTCCGCCACCAGGGGCAGACTTCAGTGGGACAATCAAACTATTACAGGGAAGCTTCCTCATTTTAATGTAGACTCATTTATAAAATCACAACTCTTTACTTTGCAGCAGTTGCTTTTTGTTTCATTTCAACAAACATGTTTCTTTGTAATTCCAGTTTTATGAAGAAAGGTGACTTACCTTTAACAATACTGGTGTAAAACTAAAGGTTTTTGGTTTAAATGGAGCATCCAGCCACAGCAGAGAGTAAATGTGTGGCTGCAGTTTCAGACCCGAAGGCGGAGTACATCGGCACCGAGCCCTGGAACCCCAAGGAGGTGATGGAGGGAGGACCGGTCTCTGACAAGGCCGACGTCTTTGCATTTGGACTGACGCTCTGGGAGATGATGACCCTGTCCATGCCACATCTGGACGCTCTCGACGAGGAAGAGGACGAGGAGGATGATGAAGGTGAGGAGGAGGAGGATGATGATGATGAAGAGGTTAAATAGGCTAAAGACAGCAGCTGACAACTGTTCAGCTGTAAGTGCTTCGTAATAATCAGTCATGGCTCTTGCATAACATTAAAATGACAGACCAATGAAATACGAAGTCCGACTGTTTGTGATGTCACATGTCCAGGTGACGAGAGCTTTGACGAGGACGCGTATTACGAGCGGCTCGGGACTCGGCCTGCGCTGGACGCAGAGGCTCTGGGCGCCCCCTACAGGAGGATGGTGGAACTGTTCTACGTCTGCACAGAGGAAGACCCCCAGAAGCGGCCCTCGGCCTCTCAGATCGTCCAGGCTTTAGAAGGAAACAGCGCCCCCCAGAGCCACGAGGTCATCGTCATCGACTGAACTCTTTACTGTGTTTGTTTTATCTGTGTCTTTAGGAGCTGAGCGCTCGACCCGCTGCAGTCTTTACATGTGAATAAAACCTTTTTGACAAACACATGTTTTGTGGACACTTAAGGTTTCAAACTCCAACTATTTAAAACCCTTCAGATGTGAACACTGGAACATTTTAATCTTAACCCATAGAAGGCTTCAGTTAAAGTTTTAGAAGTTAAAAACATTCCTTTTCTAAGCAAAAGAATAACTCATATACTATTCTTTAGTTCATTCAAGATCTTTCAGTCCATTTCTGGGGCAACGATCTGAGCTGCTCATAGCTCCAGTCCCACAAAGATCCTAACTGCTCCTCTGCAGGAGGACAGCCCTGATCTTAGTGGGTTATGTGTCTTGCTCAGGGGCACAACCATAGACATCAGTGGGAGGTCTGGCATCGAACCCATGACCATCAAGCCCAATGCTCTGATAAGTGAGCATTAACCAGGACATAAAGGCTAAAGTAAAATATGCAGTAAATAAATAAAAGCCCAAATTAAAAAAGTCATTGGTTTGATTTTAATAAACATTGGAATCTTGTGCAAACATTTCTCACTAACATTCATTTTGAAATCTTTAAGCAAAAAACTAAACTTGCATTTGCATTGTTGCCATTCAAAGTCCAGGTCTGCAGTGGAAACAAACTTTACTTCAAATATTTACAAGTTTGAACAAAATACACAACTTTTATACAAAACCTCCCAAAGTGCAGCCTGAATAAATACTGAAAAACCAAAACAACATCTGGAACATAATGATTTATAATAAAAACTAAATGTACAACAGTATTATTCTAAAGCTCAGGTTCTTCCGGGTCTGGAGCATGTTCTGGAGCATGTTATGAAATGAAGTTATAAACGAGGAAGGCCGAGGTGTCGGTGTACTTTGTGGCAAACAGTTTCCCGTCTGGGGTCGGGTCCGAGAACGCGATCTCTTCTTTAGTCAAATGACTGCCATAAATGAAGGTGCTCCTGGAAACACACATTTATATGATCAGCTCTGGTCTCCCTCTCGGGCTCTGCTCTGGTCTCCCTCTCGGGCTCTGCTCTGCTCTCCCTCTCGGGCTCTGCTCTGGTCTCCCTCTCGGGCTCTGCTCTGGTCTCCCTCTCGGGCTCTGCTCTGGTCTCCCTCTCGGGCTCTGCTCTGCTCTCCCTCTCGGGCTCTGCTCTGCTCTCCCTCTCGGGCTCTGCTCTGCTCTCCCTCTCGGGCTCTGCTCTGCTCTCCCTCTCGGGCTCTGCTCTCCCTCTCGGGCTCTGCTCTCCCTGGTCTGGTCTCTCTGGTCTGGTCTGGTCTGGTCTGGTCTGGTCTCTCTGGTCTCTCTCCCTAGGATGATGCCCAGGACAGAATACCTGAGCGTGTCCATCATGCGTGTGGCGATGGCGTGGCGTCGGGCTAAGCTGAACACCCAGATGCGGCTGATGCCACACACGGCGTGCTCCGGGACCGTGGAGCAGCACCACGCCCTGTGGCGCTCCATGAAGTCGTCCCGCCGCATGTCCTTCTCCTGGTCAGGCTGCAGCAGCACTCTGAAAGCCTGACGCACAACAACAACAGGGGTCACGCGACGCACAACAGGGTCACGCGACGCACAACAACAGGGGTCACGTGACAGCCACACAAACCAACCCTTGGTACCTTTCTGATTGGTTCCGCGACCAGGCAGCCCACAACCATTTTGTCGGAGTTGATGAAGAGGTAGGTCTTTGCTTGCGCCGGCCTCGACAGCGCCACCTGCTGGAAACCCAACTCGCTGTCAGCAACCTGCCGCACTTCCTCTGCCTGAAACAAGAACAACAACACTTTGTTTTCTTCTCCAGAGTCATTTTATTTTAGCATATTATTACTTTATTATTAAATGTTATTATCCATTATCTTAAATCACAGGCCATTTTGCATAGCTCCAGTAGAGCACTATTTTTGGCGGAGATAGGCGTGACTCTGTCCGTTAATATATACAGTCTATGGTTTTAACCCTAACCCTGACAATAAAGACATATCTGATCTTATCCAATAACACACATCATAATCATTTTGTTTCAGTCTTTTAAACACTTAAAGATGCTTCACATTCTTTCACTCCTCACACTACTGTAGCCGCAGCTGCCCTGGGACAGCTGTCTGTGCCATCAGGAGACTCCAACTGCCCCTCTCCTAAGGGTCTCCCATCACAGCACTAACCAGGCCCTGCCCTGCTTTGCTCCAGAGATCTGATGGGATCCGTCTTTGACCTGCAGGTGGCGCCACATACAGTACATAATAAATGAATTACTTTCTTGATGGCGTATTTGGGGTCGTCCGGCATCACCAACAGGATCTTTCCGTCCCAGAAGTGCGCCACGACTCGCTCCTTCTTCCAGCCCTGAAACAAATCTATATTTATAATAATACACTTTCTAAAGTAGTTACAGAGACGCTCATTTATGTTTAACGTGTGTAACATGTGTAATGTGTTTAATATATTTAATATGTTACACATATTAAACATGTGTAACATGTTTAATATGTTGTTGGGGAAGGATTAAAGACATTTTATTCTTCCAACTCCTTTTCAGTAAACTATATTGTTATGTTCCTCTGATGCACGTTAGCATGACGTTAGCATGACGTTAGCATGACGTTAGCATGACGTTAGCATGACGTTATGTCTGTTGTAAACTGTGATGGACCAGAGGTGACTTGTGCTTAAAGTGAAATGCATAAAATTAATAAACAAACAATAAAGTCTTTTAAAGAATCAAAAAGCGTATTTTTCTTCACAGACCATGAAGTAACATTTTGGGCTCAGAAACAGAACTTTGTGTCTGTAAATAAAGAGGATTTAGCCGTTTTCATGTTTTCACTGATTCCAGCAGACTGTAGCTCCGGCTCAGGATGTGTGTGATTATAACTTTAAAGAATCACATTTACCACATATTTAATTATTAATCCTTTAAAGAGTCACATTTACCACATATTTAATTATTAATCCTTTAAAGAGTCACATTTACCACATATTTAATTATTAATCCTTTAAAGAGTCACATTTACCACATATTTAATTATTAATCCTTTAAAGAGTCACATTTACCACATATTTAATGGCGTCGAGGAACCTCTGATGAAACTGCGAGTGTTGGAACGTGTCCTCGGGGTTGTCTGCGCTGTACACCATCCCACAGGAGCCACAGCTCTGGGCCCCGAACTGCTTCTGCCCCGCGTCCTGTTCACATAAACACACCCTCAGCCCTGTTCACATAAACACACCCTCAGCCCTGTTCACATAAACACACCCTCAGCGCCCTGTTCACATAAACACACCCTCAGCGCCCTGTTCACATAAACACACCCTCAGCCCTGTTCACATAAACACAACCTCAGTCCTGTTCACATAAACACACCCTCAGCCCTGTTCACATAAACACACCCTCAGCCCTGTTCACATAAACACACCCTCAGCCCTGTTCACATAAACACACCCTCAGCCCTGTTCACATAAACACACCCTCAGCGCCCTGTTCACATAAACACACCCTCAGCGCCCTGTTCACATAAACACACCCTCAGCCCTGTTCACATAAACACACCTCAGCCTGTTCACATAAACACAACCTCAGCCCTGTTCACATAAACACACCCTCAGCCCTGTTCACATAAACACACCCTCAGCCCTGTTCACATAAACACACCTCAGCCCTGTTCACATAAACACACCCTCAGCCCTCACAGCCTGTTCACATAAACACACCCTCAGCCCTGTTCACATAAACACACCAGCCCTCAGCGCCTTCACATAAACACACCTCAGCCCTGTTCACATAAACACACCCTCAGCGCCTGTTCACATAACACCCCTCAGCCCTGTTCACATAAACACACCCTCAGCCCTGTTCACATAAACACACCCTCAGCCCTGTTCACATAAACACACCCTCAGCCCTGTTCACATAAACACACCCTCAGCCCTGTTCACATAAACACACCCTCAGCCCTGTTCACATAAACACACCCTCAGCCCTGTTCACATAAACACACCCTCAGCCCTGTTCACATAAACACACCCTCAGCCCTGTTCACATAAACACACCCTCAGCCCTGTTCACATAAACACACCCTCAGCCCTGTTCACATAAACACACCCTCAGCCCTGTTCACATAAACACCCTCACACATACACCAGCCCTGTTCACATAAACACACCCTCAGCCCTGTTCACATAAACACACCCTCAGCCCTGTTCACATAAACACACCCTCAGCCCTGTTCACATAAACACACCCCTGCACCTCACACCTCAGCCCTGTTCACATAAACACACCCTCAGCCCTGTTCACATAAACACACACCCTCAGCCCTGTTCACATAAACACACCCTCAGCCCTGTTCACATAAACACACCCTCAGCCCCTGTTCACATAAACACACCCTCAGCCCTGTTCACATAAACACACCCTCAGCCCCTGTTCACATAAACACACCCTCAGCCCCTGTTCACATAAACACACCCTCAGCCCTGTTCACATAAACACACCCTCAGCCCTGTTCACATAAACACACCCTCAGCCCTGTTCACATAACACACCCTCAGCCCTGTTCACATAAACACACCCTCAGCCCCTGTTCACATAAACACACACCTCAGCCCTGTTCACATAAACACCCCTCAGCCCTGTTCACATAAACACACCTCAGCCCTGTTCACATAAACACACCCTCAGCGCCCTGTTCACATAAACACACCCTCAGCGCCCTGTTCACATAAAACACCCTCAGCCCTGTTCACATAAACACACCCTCAGCCCTGTTCACATAAACACACCCTCAGCCCTGTTCACATAAACACACCCTCAGCCCTGTTCACATAAACACACCCTCAGCGCCCTGTTCACATAAACACACCCTCAGCCCTGTTCACATAAACACACCCTCAGCCCTGTTCACATAAACACACCCTCAGCGCCCTGTTCACATAAACACACCCTCAGCCCTGTTCACATAAACACACCTCAGCGCCCTGTTCACATAAACACACCCTCAGCCCTGTTCACATAAACACACCCTCAGCCCTGTTCACATAAACACACCCTCAGCCCTGTTCACATAAACACACCCTCAGCGCCCTGTTCACATAAACACACCCTCAGCCCTGTTCACATAAACACACCCTCAGCGCCCTGTTCACATAAACACACCCTCAGCCCTGTTCACATAAACACACCCTCAGCCCTGTTTCACATAAACACACCCTCAGCCCTGTTCACATAAACACACCCTCAGCCCTGTTCACATAAACACACCCTCAGCCCTGTTCACATAAACACACCCTCAGCCCTGTTCACATAAACACACCCTCAGCGCCCTGTTCACATAAACACACCCTCAGCCCTGTTCACATAAACACACCCTCAGCCCTGTTCACATAAACACACCCTCAGCCCTGTTCACATAAACACACCCTCAGCCCTGTTCACATAAACACACCCTCAGCGCCCTGTTCACATAAACACACCCTCAGCCCTGTTCACATAAACACACCCTCAGTCCTGTTCACATAAACACAACCTCAGACACGCCACAGGAAGTTTTACTCTAGACATTAGTAACAAAATCATCAGCATATCATTATCATAATTAGCATAACATTAACATAATCAGGAAGCCATCTACAATCAACATAACGCTAAAGTTAGAGATTTTATACTAGCTTCTTTATTATGCTAAAGATTTTATTCTTTTTAGTAGTTATTGTCCATTTATCTGGTGCTGTTCTGTAACGATGCAACACTGAACTTTCTCTTCATCTCTTGTGTCTCTTCCTTTCGTTCTGACGCTAAGAAGAGTTTTTATGCTAATTCTCTGAGGACTGCAGCCGGCAATGGATAAAGCAGAAGAAAGTGAAATGAAACTGACGATGATGAGCTGATCTTCATCCTGCCTGTCCTTCCTCTTCCTCAGGGTCCTCTCTTTAGTCACAGACTGCAATGCCATCACCGGGCCACAGGGGGTGCTGCAGGACACAGGAGGCCTCAGAGCTGCCACTCTGCTCCTGAGGAGAAAGTCTGGGTTTCATTATTGTTCCAAAATACACCGGAAATGCTACAGGATCAATACTTACTTTTTGGAGGAAGATCCAAATATGGGATACACACCTATGGAAGCAGAAGGTGAAAACTGAACCAATGATCACAGACGTTAGATGAGTTTAGAAAGATCTGCACCTGTGGCTGGACTGTCCCCGCCGCTCAGTGGGCTCATGTCACTGAGGTCAAACACAGGCGCCTAAAACAGAACCACAGCTGCAACATCACAATCCTACACAACCTGCTGGACCAGAAACCACAACTCTGTATAACGTGTGTGTACGTGTGTGCGTACGTGTGTGTGTCATCTCCAACAGAGACAACCCGAGGAAGAGCAGGACATACACAGGGCTTGCTTTTATGTGACTAGAGCAGAACAGATATTATGGACTGTTCACATAAACACACTGACGCAGGAATGTGTGAGAAAAACAGAGTTAAGTGAAAAGTGCAGGAACTACACAGGGCTGGTTTTATGTGACTAGAGCTACAGTCAGAGCAGAGTTCATGACCTTATTATTTTGACTACAAGTTTTAGTAGTAACGTTCTGAATGAATTTAGCAGAATCTTCCTGAAAATGTGAGACAGACTTCTTCTTTGACAATGGCCCTGACCTGAGGAGTACCACAGGGGTCGGTCCTGGGAGGTCCTCTCTGACAATGTTTAAAACCAGGTTAAAGACAGTTCTGTTTAGCTGTGCTACAACTGAGGGATTTTATATTTTTATCTTTCTTTTTAATGTTCTGTGATTATTTATGATTTTAATGCTTTCTTGTTTTGTTCAGCACTTTGAATTGCCTTGGAATGAACTGTGCCATCTTCAAAATGAGTTTTTGTGGACAGTAAACAGAGGTTCTTAAATGGTCCTGCAGGTTCTTAGCGGTCCGGCAGGTTCTTAGCGGTCCGGCAGGTTCTTAGCGGTCCGGCAGGTTCTTAGCGGTCCGGCAGGTTCTTAGCGGTCCTGCAGGTTCTGTAAACTCCCTCATCCAGAGAATCTAAAGTGTGGACATTTACCTGTGATTTCATGAGCGCCAGAGCCTTAGACTCTGCGTCCGGACTCCGCAGCAACACAACGGAAGATTCTTTGTTGATGCCAAATCTCTCTTTGGGAGATCTGGAAGAAGAAGGAGTCGTTAAAAAGGTGCTTTGCTCATGAACAGGAACACTGTAGATTTCTAACCCTTCAGGAGTTGGAGGCAGATAGTCCGTGATTTCATCCAACGAGTCCACCCAGTCCAAAGGATTAAACTGTCTCCGCTGTTTTGGTGCAGACCCTGGGGCAGACCCTGGGGCAGACCCTGGGGCAGACCCTGGGGCAGACCCTGGGGCAGACCCTGGTGCAGACCCTGGTGCAGACCCTGGTGCAGACCCTGGGGCAGACCCTGGTGCAGACCCTGGGGCAGACCCTGGGGCAGACCCTGGGGCAGACCCTTCTGCAGGAGGAGGTTGGGTCTCTGCTGCAGGAGGAGGTTGGGTCTTGTCTCTTGGCACAGATGGTCCTACTTCAGCCTGTTTGACCCTCTTGGGCCTGGTTGAGGACTTGGGAGCAGATCTTTTGTACATAGATGTTGGTTTCTTGCTGGTTCCAAAGAAGGCAGCTCCAACAAACAGCTTTGGTTTCGGTTTCCCGCTGCTGAAGGCGAAGGTGATGCCTTTCTTGGTCTCTGGCGCCGCTGCGGTGGCGCTGTCGCAACAAGAGACTTTAGGAACGTGCGGTCTCACTTTAGTTTCACAAAAACACTAACTACAGCCAAGGAGCGTAGAATATAAAGTTAACTAGCTCTTAATTGGTGTCAATTAGTGAAGGAACGATTATGTTAGTATCGCAATATTTCATTAGACAATAATCTGTTTGCTCCTCCCGAGGCAGACCAAAGGAGACATTTGAGTTTAGCACAATTATTCTCCTCAATTTTTGTAATGCTTTGGAATAATGTGAGGGACAATCTGAACTGAGGGGCGACAGTAGCTCAGTTGGTAGAGCATTGGCCTTATGGCCAGAAGGGTGTGGGTTCAATTCCCACCTCTGCACCTTCTCCACCGACTCCCACTGATGACTGCTGTCGTTGTGTCCTTGGGCAAGACACTTAACCCCACTTTGCCCAAAGCCCCCACTGAAAGATCAAGGCTATGCTCACACTTAGAGAGCAGCCGTCCTCCTGTGGACTCACCACCTGCAGAGGGTCAGTGAGGGGCTGGTGCTATGAGACTTGGGTGGTCTCTCTGACTGCCACCCCCCTGACCCAGAAATGGATTAAAGGGTAGAAGATGGATGGACAATCTGAACTGTGGCCCAACTATCGCAATACTATCAAATCCACACTTTTTTGCCAATTTCAATATTAGTTAGTCTTTACATGTTTGTGTGACCTCCATCACATGTTTGTGTAACCTCCATCACATGTTTGCGTGCACTTTAAAGCAGTGTGTACCTGTTGCCGCTGGTTGCAGGAGTGTAGAGTTTAATAACACTTGTGGCGTTCTTTGAGACCGGGGACACTTTTTTGACCTTGCCTCCTTTACGGCCTTTCTTGTTGATGGTCACGGTCTTCTTGGCCTGAGCTGAGGGAGGGGGGGCAGCAGAGGGGGGCGGGGGTAATGACTCCTTCACCTTCTTCCTCTCCAGTGGGGTGAGGTACACGTTCTTCTGTTTGCTGTAGAAGGAGCTCGGCGCCACCGTGGGTTTGAATGCAGACTTTGCAGGAGACGCTGAAGAGAAGAGAAAATCTGACACTTTTCTGTTTAAAAAGGACATTATTACACATTTATGTGGGAATAAAGTTGATATATTTTATATTTGTCCATGTGACCGTATAAATCAGCATGGCACCGGTACTTTCTATAAAACAGTCACTAGATCTCTCGCTTGACAGCAAGTATGTCTTGGGTTCGATTCCACCTCCAGACAGGGCCTTTCCGAGTGGAGTTTGCATGTTCTCCCTGTGTCTGCGTTGGGTTCCTCTACCACTAAACGAGCTCCCCTCTCTCTGGGGCCAGGACACCCCTGAAACAAGTTTCTGATATTTCAGTAGGTTTCCTGGTTAAATGAAAGTCAAAATAGAAAATGTATAAACATGTGGCTCCTAAATATTGACGTGGTTCACACGAAGGTGTCGTCCTCGGGGTCCGGGCTCAAAGCGCCTCTGATGCACCTGTTTTCAACTGACGCTCATTCAAAGGCAGACGTGTTTGTGTTCCGCCACACTGAGGCGCCACACTGAGGCGCCGCACTGAGGCGCCGCACTGAGGCGCTACACTGAGGCGCCGCACTGAGGCGCTGCACTGAGGCGCCACACTGAGGCGCCACACTGAGGCGCCACACTGAGGCGCCACACTGAGGCGCCGCACTGAGGCGCTACACTGAGGCGCCGCACTGAGGCGCTGCACTGAGGCGCCACACTGAGGCGCCACACTGAGGCGCCACACTGAGGCGCCGCACTGAGGCGCCACACTGAGGCGCCACACTGAGGCGCTACACTGAGGCGCCACACTGAGGCGCTACACTGAGGCGCCGCACTGAGGCGCTACACTGAGGCGCCGCACTGAGGCGCCTCAGTGTAGCGCCACACTGAGGCGCTACACTGAGGCGCCACACTGAGGCGCTACACTGAGGCGCCGCACTGAGGCGCCTCAGTGTAGCGCCACACTGAGGCGCTACACTGAGGCGCCACACTGAGGCGCTACACTGAGGCGCCGCACTGAGGCGCCTCAGTGTAGCGCCACACTGAGTCGCTACACTGAGTCACGGTCTGAGGTCACGGCCTGAGTCACGGTCTGAGGTCACGGTCTGAGGTCACGGTCTGAGTCACGGTCTGAGGTCACGGTCTGAGGTCACGGTCTGAGGTCACGGTCTGAGGTCACGGTCTGAGGTCACGGTCTGAGTCACGGTCTGAGGTCACGGTCTGAGGTCACGGTCTGAGGTCACGGTCTGAGTCACGGTCTGAGGTCACGGTCTGAGTCACGGTCTGAGTCACGGTCTGAGGTCACGGTCTGAGGTCACGGTCTGAGGTCACGGTCTGAGTCACGGTCTGAGTCACGGTCTGAGTCACGGTCTGAGGTCACGGTCTGAGGTCACGGTCTGAGGTCACGGTCTGAGGTCACGGTCTGAGGTCACGGTCTGAGGTCACGGTCTGAGGTCACGGTCTGAGGTCACGGTCTGAGGTCACGGTCTGAGGTCACGGTCTGAGGTCACGGTCTGAGGTCACGGTCTGAGGTCACGGCCTGAGGTCACGGCCTCTGACCTGATGATCTCTTTGGGGATAAATGAGCAGGAGGACAGTTTTCTTTTTGTTGCTGTTTCTTCTTCACAGGAGACTTGGGCGCCTTCACAGGGGTCCTTCTCTTCACAGGGGTCCTTCTCTTCACAGGGGTCCTTCTCTTCACAGGGGTCCTTCTCTTCACAGGGGTCCTTCTCTTCACAGGGGTCCTTCTCTTCACAGGGGTCCTTCTCTTCACCGGAGACCCCTCAGCTTTGCCCTTCTGAGCGATACAACTGAAAAAGAAAAGATAAATTAGGTATATTAGGAACAACCTGAATGATACATTGTGTGTTCTTTGTTTTTCAGAACTCACCTGTCGCTGTCCAGAGAGAGCTTTCTCTTCCTGGTCATTGGCATCATGTCTGACACACCTGCAGACGACACGATACAGGTTAAAGCAACACAACTACACCTGCAGAGACTGAGCAACACAACTACACCTGCAGAGACTGAGCAACACAACTACACCTGCAGAGACTGAGCAACACAACTACACCTGCAGACACTGAGCAACACAACTACACCTGCAGAGACTCAGCAACACAACTACACCTGCAGAGACTCAGCAACACAACTACACCTGCAGACACTGAGCAACACAACTACACCTGCCGAGACTGAGCAACACAACTACACCTGCAGAGACTGAGCAACACAACTACACCTGCAGACACTGAGCAACACAACTACACCTGCAGACACTGAGCAACACAACTACACCTGCAGAGACTCAGCAACACAACTACACCTGCAGAGACTCAGCAACACAACTACACCTGCAGACACTGAGCAACACAACTACACCTGCCGAGACTAAGCAACACAACTACACCTGCCGAGACTAAGCAACACAACTACACCTGCAGAGACTGAGCAACACAACTACACCTGCAGAGACTGAGCAACACAACTACACCTGCAGAGACTGAGCAACACAACTACACCTGCAGAGACTCAGCAACACAACTACACCTGCAGAGACTGAGCAACACAACTACACCTGCAGAGACTAAGCAACACAACTACACCTGCAGACACTGAGCAACACAACTACACCTGCAGACACTGAGCAACACAACTACACCTGCAGAGACTCAGCAACACAACTACACCTGCAGAGACTCAGCAACACAACTACACCTGCAGACACTGAGCAACACAACTACACCTGCCGAGACTAAGCAACACAACTACACCTGCCGAGACTAAGCAACACAACTACACCTGCAGAGACTCAGCAACACAACTACACCTGCAGAGACTGAGCAACACAACTACACCTGCAGAGACTGAGCAACACAACTACACCTGCAGAGACTCAGCAACACAACTACACCTGCAGAGACTGAGCAACACAACTACACCTGCAGAGACTAAGCAACACAACTACACCTGCAGACACTGAGCAACACAACTACACCTGCAGACACTGAGCAACACAACTACACCTGCAGAGACTGAGCAACACAACTACACCTGCAGAGACTAAGCAACACAACTACACCTGCAGACACTGAGCAACACAACTACACCTGCAGAGACTCAGCAACACAACTACCGAGACTAAGCAACACAACTACACCTGCAGGGACTAAGCAACACAACTACACCTGCAGAGACTAAGCAACACAACTACACCTGCAGAGACTGAGCAACACAACTACACCTGCAGACACTGAGCAACACAACTACACCTGCAGAGACTCTGAGCAACACAACTACCGAGACTAAGCAACACAACTACACCTGCAGGGACTAAGCAACACAACTACACCTGCAGAGACTAAGCAACACAACTACACCTGCAGAGACTGAGCAACACAACTACACCTGCAGACACTGAGCAACACAACTACACCTGCAGAGACTGAGCAACACAACTACACCTGCAGAGACTGAGCAACACAACTACACCTGCAGAGACTGAGCAACACAACTACACCTGCAGAGACTGAGCAACACAACTACACCTGCAGAGACTGAGCAACACAACTACACCTGCAGAGACTAAGCAACACAACTACACCTGCAGACACTGAGCAACACAACTACACCTGCAGACACTGAGCAACACAACTACACCTGCAGACACTGAGCAACACAACTACACCTGCAGAGACTCAGCAACACAACTACACCTGCCGGGACTAAGCAACACAACTACACCTGCAGGGACTAAGCAACACAACTACACCTGCAGAGACTAAGCAACACAACTACACCTGCAGAGACTGAGCAACACAACTACACCTGCAGACACTGAGCAACACAACTACACCTGCAGAGACTGAGCAACACAACTACACCTGCAGAGACTGAGCAACACAACTACACCTGCAGAGACTGAGCAACACAACTACACCTGCAGACACTGAGCAACACAACTACACCTGCAGACACTGAGCAACACAACTACACCTGCAGAGACTGAGCAACACAACTACACCTGCAGACACTGAGCAACACAACTACACCTGCAGACACTGAGCAACACAACTACACCTGCAGAGACTAAGCAACACAACTACACCTGCAGAGACTGAGCAACACAACTACACCTGCAGAGACTGAGCAACACAACTACACCTGCAGAGACTGAGCAACACAACTACACCTGCAGAGACTAAGCAACACAACTACACCTGCAGAGACTAAGCAACACAACTACACCTGCAGAGACTAAGCAACACAACTACACCTGCAGAGACTGAGCAACACAACTACACCTGCAGAGACTAAGCAACACAACTACACCTGCAGACACTCAGCAACACAACTACACCTGCAGAGACTGAGCAACACAACTACACCTGCAGACACTGAGCAACACAACTACACCTGCAGAGACTAAGCAACACAACTACACCTGCAGACACTGAGCAACACAACTACACCTGCAGACACTGAGCAACACAACTACACCTGCAGACACTGAGCAACACAACTACACCTGCAGAGACTCAGCAACACAACTACACCTGCCGAGACTGAGCAACACAACTACACCTGCAGAGACTCAGCAACACAACTACACCTGCCGAGACTAAGCAACACAACTACACCTGCAGGGACTAAGCAACACAACTACACCTGCAGAGACTAAGCAACACAACTACACCTGCAGAGACTGAGCAACACAACTACACCTGCAGACACTGAGCAACACAACTACACCTGCAGAGACTGAGCAACACAACTACACCTGCAGAGACTGAGCAACACAACTACACCTGCAGACACTGAGCAACACAACTACACCTGCAGACACTGAGCAACACAACTACACCTGCAGAGACTAAGCAACACAACAACACCTGCAGAGACTGAGCAACACAACTACACCTGCAGAGACTGAGCAACACAACTACACCTGCAGAGACTGAGCAACACAACTACACCTGCAGAGACTAAGCAACACAACTACACCTGCAGAGACTAAGCAACACAACTACACCTGCAGAGACTAAGCAACACAACTACACCTGCAGACACTCAGCAACACAACTACACCTGCCGAGACTAAGCAACACAACTACACCTGCCGAGACTAAGCAACACAACTACACCTGCAGACACTCAGCAACACAACTACACCTGCCGAGACTAAGCAACACAACTACACCTGCAGAGACTGAGCAACACAACTACACCTGCAGAGACTGAGCAACACAACTACACCTGCAGAGACTGAGCAACACAACTACACCTGCAGAGACTGAGCAACACAACTACACCTGCAGACACTGAGCAACACAACTACACCTGCAGACACTGAGCAACACAACTACACCTGCAGACACTGAGCAACACAACTACACCTGCAGAGACTGAGCAACACAACTACACCTGCAGACACTGAGCAACACAACTACACCTGCAGACACTGAGCAACACAACTACACCTGCAGACACTGAGCAACACAACTACACCTGCAGACACTGAGCAACACAACTACACCTGCAGACACTGAGCAACACAACTACACCTGCAGAGACTGAGCAACACAACTACACCTGCAGAGACTGAGCAACACAACTACACCTGCAGACACTGAGCAACACAACTACACCTGCAGACACTGAGCAACACAACTACACCTGCAGACACTGAGCAACACAACTACACCTGCAGACACTGAGCAACACAACTACACCTGCAGACACTGAGCAACACAACTACACCTGCAGAGACTCAGCAACACAACTACACCTGCAGACACTGAGCAACACAACTACACCTGCAGAGAAATGTGGAGTAAACGGCGGTACAAAAATATCCAAGGACTTTACAGAAGGACAAGTGCAGCTTCTACCGCGGTCCTCTGGAGAAAATCAAACACATAAAGTGCAGATAGTTGATGATAGTTGATGATAGTTGATGATAGTTGATGATAGTTGATGATAGTTGATGATAGTTGATGATAGTTGATGATAGTTGATGATAGTTGATGATAGTTGATGATAGTTGATGATAGTTGTGGGATCGTCACAAACACAAGTGTTAGAGAAACAGATATAATACAAACCGGAGATGGTCCTGGAGCTGATCCAAAGTGAACAATAGTAAGAAGAGTTTTGATCCAATATTCACAATCTGTGGAGCGTCCTGAACCCGCGTTTCTCTGTTTTGAAGAGCGCGCGCAACCAACAAAAAACTGCGCGAACGGAAACGGAAATACGTCACTTTTATATTTTGTCACGTGTTTATTCTAAAACATTGTTTCTTTGAACTTCACTGTAAAATAGATGAACTGTGGTAAAACAAACACGGATCTACTGCAGATATAAAATATACTGAGTCATCATTTGTGTGAAACCCGAGGCTGTTTATTTCTGTTTTTAACTGATTACAGCTCTGAAGCTATAATAGATCCATGCTCTGAAGTCTATCCTCTGCTCTCACTTCCAGCATTTATGCTCAAATTGGAATAAAAACAATCTGTATTAAAAATCACAGTCTGAATCTAAATGTAATGACTGTATACACCACTGGGGGCGCCCTCCCGCTCCGAGCAGCGGAGGCAAATTCTACAGCTTCCGGTCCGCACGAGGATGATCTTTTGCTCTTGTCTCATCTACTGCCTCTTAAATCACTTTTTTGGGCCTAAGCCCGTCCGAACTTTTGGCTAAGATGGTTTTTTACTTTACAAGCTCCGGTGAGTATCAACTCCTGTTTACAGGCCTTCAGACCCATGATACAGCCGCGGTTCTGCTTAATAATGCTTAATTATGCTTAATTATGCTTAATTATGGTTAATTATGGTTAATTATGGTTAATTATGCCCTTGTTTTCTCAGTGGCGGATCGTCCTTACACTATTTACATGGGCAAGGATAAGCACGAGAGTGAGTTATGGGACACCCGCACTCTGTGAATGTGTGAAAATGACACATTTTCTCTCTATCCTTTCATTAGACGAGGATTTGATAAAGTATGGCTGGCCTGAAGACATCTGGTATGTTTCCTATGGATACATTACATTATAGCAATCAACATGTCGTGTATGCAGCTTCTTGACACTTTAGTTTTATCAGACGAACCTTCTAAGTATTATTTAAAAACTCTGATCAAAACAGCAACACAAATACATCAATATACAACAATGTTATATTAAAAAGATGCTGCAATTATTCAAATGGGGGTTGACTGGGACCAGGAGGTCGGTCCCTGTGCTCCTCAGAGTCCCAGCAGGAGTCCAGTCCCTGTGCTCCTCAGTCCCAGCAGGAGGCCAGTCCCTGTGCTCCTCAGAGTCCCATTAGGAGGCCAGTCCCTGTGCTCCTCAGAGTCCCAGCAGGAGGCCAGTCCCTGTGCTCCTCAGAGTCCCAGCAGGAGTCCAGTCCCTGTGCTCCTCAGAGTCCCAGCAGGAGGCCAGTCCCTGTGCTCCTCAGAGTCCCAGCAGGAGGCCAGTCCCTGTGCTCCTCAGAGTCCCAGCAGGAGGCCAGTCCCTGTGCTCCTCAGAGTCCCAGCAGGAGGCCAGTCCCTGTGCTCCTCAGAGTCCCAGCAGGAGTCCAGTCCCTGTGCTCCTCAGAGTCCCAGCAGGAGGCCAGTCCCTGTGCTCCTCAGAGTCCCAGCAGGAGGCCAGTCCCTGTGCTCCTCAGAGTCCCAGCAGGAGTCCAGTCCCTGTGCTCCTCAGAGTCCCAGCAGGAGGCCAGTCCCTGTGCTCCTCAGAGTCCCAGCAGGAGGCCAGTCCCTGTGCTCCTCAGAGAGTGGGGAGACTTGGAACAAGCTGCTCTTCATTTGAGAAGTTAAGCACATTTAGTTACTTACATGTTCTTGCTTTTCTAGGTTTCATGTTGACAAACTTTCGTCTGCCCACGTTTATCTACGACTGCCAAAGGTACGAGGAGTTTGGATTGGCAGATTTTGGCAAATTATTTGATTCTTGGTAAATCAAGCATCTTTGTTAAATCTGTTTTAGGGACACACCATAAATGAGATTCCAGCTGAAGTTCTAATCGACTGTGCACAACTGGTGAAAAACAACAGCATTCAAGGTAAATATTGTTCTTTTAGGAATCTTCACCACTGGACTAAGTTTATCTGCACAGTTCATGCTCGAGGCAACTCAAAGTGCTTAAAATACATTTCTTTCTGTATCTTTGCAATTCTTGTTGGTGTCAGGATGTAAGATGAACAACATTAATGTGGTCTACACGCCGTGGGCAAACCTGAAGAAGACCGGAGACATGGACGTGGGGCAGATCGGCTTCCACAAACACAAGGAGGTTTGGAGCAAAGGCCTCTTTCAAAACTGTTGGACAAATACTAACCACGCTTTATCTCCAGGTCAAACTCGTAACTGTGGAAAAGAAAGTGAATGAAATCGTGAACCGCTTGGAGAAAACCAAAGTGGAGAACTTCCCAGACCTGGCAGCGGAGAAAGAGTCGAGAGACCGAGAGGAGAGGAACGAGAAGAAGGCACAACTCCAGGAGCTGAAGAAGCAGGAGAAGGAGGAGCAGATGAAGAGGAAGGAGATGGAGGACCTCAGGTTTGTGTTGAAACAGAAATACTACATTTAGAATACTTCATGTTTTAGAATGTGGAATAAAATAAGGTCAAACCATGCTATCTGCCTGCACTACCGCTATGCTACCACCAGAGGCAGTAGACCAGAGCTCATTTATGGGTAATACTTTGGTTTTAAAAGACATGAAACTACTGAGTGTGATGTCATAGTGGTACAGTGACATCACTTCTACTCTGCATCAGTTTCCTCCGTGTGCTCCGGTTTCTCCTTCCATTAAAACTTGTACAATAGGTCTGGCATGAGCCTTTTTCTTGTTATGTAATTAAAGTTAAGGAACCCATTTTGCTTGTCTGCTCCTACATTTTGAAAGATACTGTTTTAGGGTTAGGTACTATTATTTACATAAAGTGTCCTATAGCCACTAGAACTTAAAGAATAAGGCCATGAACTGCTTTGACAACAGCCCGACTCCACCACTATAAAAACATGAGCCGCAGGGTGAAACTACAGCATCTCACTGGTGTTTAAAAGCCCTGTGCTTCAGTATCTCACTGGTGTTTAAAAGCCCTGTGCTTCAGTATCTCACTGGTGTTTAAAAGCCCTGTGCTTCAGTATCTCACTGGTGTTTAAAAGCCCTGTGCTTCAGTATCTCACTGGTGTTTAAAAGCTCTGTGCTTCAGTATCTCACTGGTGTTTAAAAGCCCTGTGCTTCAGTATCTCACTGGTGTTTAAAAGCTCTGTGCTTCAGTATCTCACTGGTGTTTAAAAGCCCTGTGCTTCAGTATCTCACTGGTGTTTAAAAGCTCTGTGCTTCAGTATCTCACTGGTGTTTAAAAGCTCTGTGCTTCAGTATCTCACTGGTGTTTAAAAGCCCTGTGCTTCAGTATCTCACTGGTGTTTAAAAGCTGTGCTTCAGTATCTCACTGGTGTTTAAAAGCCCTGTGCTTCAGTATCTCACTGGTGTTTAAAAGCTCTGTGCTTCAGTATCTCACTGGTGTTTAAAAGCCCTGTGCTTCAGTATCTCACTGGTGTTTAAAAGCCCTGTGCTTCAGTATCTCACTGGTGTTTAAAAGCCCTGTGCTTCAGTATCTCACTGGTGTTTAAAAGCCCTGTGCTTCAGTATCTCACTGGTGTTTAAAAGCTCTGTGCTTCAGTATCTCACTGGTGTTTAAAAGCTCTGTGCTTCAGTATCTCACTGGTGTTTAAAAGCCCTGTGCTTCAGTATCTCACTGGTGTTTAAAAGCTCTGTGCTTCAGTATCTCACTGGTGTTTAAAAGCTCTGTGCTTCAGTATCTCACTGGTGTTTAAAAGCTCTGTGCTTCAGTATCTCACTGGTGTTTAAAAGCTCTGTGCTTCAGTATCTCACTGGTGTTTAAAAGCTCTGTGCTTCAGTATCTCACTGGTGTTTAAAAGCCCTGTGCTTCAGTATCTCACTGGTGTTTAAAAGCTCTGTGCTTCAGTATCTCACTGGTGTTTAAAAGCTCTGTGCTTCAGTATCTCACTGGTGTTTAAAAGCTCTGTGCTTCAGTATCTCACTGGTGTTTAAAAGCTCTGTGCTTCAGTATCTCACTGGTGTTTAAAAGCCCTGTGCTTCAGTATCTCACTGGTGTTTAAAAGCTCTGTGCTTCAGTATCTCACTGGTGTTTAAAAGCTCTGTGCTTCAGTATCTCACTGGTGTTTAAAAGCCCTGTGCTTCAGTATCTCACTGGTGTTTAAAAGCCCTGTGCTTCAGTATCTCACTGGTGTTTAAAAGCTCTGTGCTTCAGTATCTCACTGGTGTTTAAAAGCTCTGTGCTTCAGTATCTCACTGGTGTTTAAAAGCTCTGTGCTTCAGTATCTCACTGGTGTTTAAAAGCTCTGTGCTTCAGTATCTCACTGGTGTTTAAAAGCTCTGTGCTTCAGTATCTCACTGGTGTTTAAAAGCTCTGTGCTTCAGTATCTCACTGGTGTTTAAAAGCCCTGTGCTTCAGTATCTCACTGGTGTTTAAAAGCTCTGTGCTTCAGTATCTCACTGGTGTTTAAAAGCCCTGTGCTTCAGTATCTCACTGGTGTTTAAAAGCCCTGTGCTTCAGTATCTCACTGGTGTTTAAAAGCTCTGTGCTTCAGTATCTCACTGGTGTTTAAAAGCTGTGCTTCAGTATCTCACTGGTGTTTAAAAGCCCTGTGCTTCAGTATCTCACTGGTGTTTAAAAGCCCCGTGCTTCAGTATCTCACTGGTGTTTAAAAGCTCTGTGCTTCAGTATCTCACTGGTGTTTAAAAGCCCTGTGCTTCAGTATCTCACTGGTGTTTAAAAGCCCTGTGCTTCAGTATCTCACTGGTGTTTAAAAGCCCTGTGCTTCAGTATCTCACTGGTGTTTAAAAGCTCTGTGCTTCAGTATCTCACTGGTGTTTAAAAGCTCTGTGCTTCAGTATCTCACTGGTGTTTAAAAGCTCTGTGCTTCAGTATCTCACTGGTGTTTAAAAGCTCTGTGCTTCAGTATCTCACTGGTGTTTAAAAGCTGTGCTTCAGTATCTCACTGGTGTTTAAAAGCCCTGTGCTTCAGTATCTCACTGGTGTTTAAAAGCCCTGTGCTTCAGTATCTCACTGGTGTTTAAAAGCTCTGTGCTTCAGTATCTCACTGGTGTTTAAAAGCTCTGTGCTTCAGTATCTCACTGGTGTTTAAAAGCTCTGTGCTTCAGTATCTCACTGGTGTTTAAAAGCTGTGCTTCAGTATCTCACTGGTGTTTAAAAGCCCTGTGCTTCAGTATCTCACTGGTGTTTAAAAGCTCTGTGCTTCAGTATCTCACTGGTGTTTAAAAGCTCTGTGCTTCAGTATCTCACTGGTGTTTAAAAGCTCTGTGCTTCAGTATCTCACTGGTGTTTAAAAGCTCTGTGCTTCAGTATCTCACTGGTGTTTAAAAGCTCTGTGCTTCAGTATCTCACTGGTGTTTAAAAGCTCTGTGCTTCAGTATCTCACTGGTGTTTAAAAGCTCTGCTTCAGTATCTCACTGGTGTTTAAAAGCCCTGTGCTTCAGTATCTCACTGGTGTTTAAAAGCTCTGTGCTTCAGTATCTCACTGGTGTTTAAAAGCTCTGTGCTTCAGTATCTCACTGGTGTTTAAAAGCTGTGCTTCAGTATCTCACTGGTGTTTAAAAGCCCTGTGCTTCAGTATCTCACTGGTGTTTAAAAGCCCTGTGCTTCAGTATCTCACTGGTGTTTAAAAGCCCTGTGCTTCAGTATCTCACTGGTGTTTAAAAGCTCTGTGCTTCAGTATCTCACTGGTGTTTAAAAGCTCTGCTTCAGTATCTCACTGGTGTTTAAAAGCCCTGTGCTTCAGTATCTCACTGGTGTTTAAAAGCTCTGTGCTTCAGTATCTCACTGGTGTTTAAAAGCTCTGTGCTTCAGTATCTCACTGGTGTTTAAAAGCTCTGCTTCAGTATCTCACTGGTGTTTAAAAGCTCTGTGCTTCAGTATCTCACTGGTGTTTAAAAGCCCTGTGCTTCAGTATCTCACTGGTGTTTAAAAGCTCTGTGCTTCAGTATCTCACTGGTGTTTAAAAGCTCTGTGCTTCAGTATCTCACTGGTGTTTAAAAGCTCTGTGCTTCAGTATCTCACTGGTGTTTAAAAGCTCTGTGCTTCAGTATCTCACTGGTGTTTAAAAGCTCTGCTTCAGCTTTAAATGTTATATTACAGTTAGTAAAGTAAGTCACATCTTATTGACTTGTGTGAAATAAACCCTTCTTTTTTTCCAGAAGTTACACGTCACTGATGAAGTCTGATAATATGCAAACAAATGAGGTAAGTGTAGTTTGTGTTTTTAGAACTCCAGATTTAACTTCAGATTTAACTTCTGTGATTCAGGACGGCTACGACTCGGACGACTTCATGTAAAAGTGAAAGCCCGGCCTCACCCCCCCCCCCCCCCCCCCCCCCCGGTCTCAGCCCCCCCCCGGCCTCAGCCCCCCCGCCTCAGCCCCCCCCGGCCTCAGCCCCCCCCGGCCTCAGCCCCCCCCGGCCTCAGCCCCCCCCGGCCTCAGCCCCCGCCCAGCCCCCGGCCTCAGCCCCCCCCCCGTCAGCAGCAGAGCCACTAGGACTAAACTGCTGCTTCGTGTTTCGTGAACAAAGCAGCGATGGAGCAGGTCGACTCATGATGATCCGTTTGTGCAGGTTTTATTTCTTCCGTTCATCATCAGCTGAATACAATATAAGTTTTAATAAAAGTATTTAAAAACATTGAATTCTTTTTTTTAATGAGTGGTTAACTGCTGCAAGTTACCTGTGGTTAAAGGTGAAGAAAAACCACATACGAGTCAATACAACTCAGTCATTTTGACTGCTCTGTTAATCTGCTGAAAGTCTGGAGAAGGTTAGTGTCGCTGAAACAGTTCAGAGTTACTCAAACACCAGAAGCTCAAGAAAACATTTTATTACAAATGACACGATCTGAGTCTGAAACAAACACATGGTTCTTTACAGACACATGGTTCAGTAGAACAAGAATCCTCTGAATGAATAAACACAGATCCCTGAAGTCTGTTCAGCGGAAAGATGAAATTATTTGGTCAAAGTCCTGCCCTTTCACTGGATTTTAAGAAAAAGATTTTATTAAATAAACTGTATAAACAATCTACAAACTAATCATTTTATAAATTAGTCTCAACCTAAAGGTCAGACAGACGCTGAGAATACGTAGAAAACTAGAGGAACAAACCTCTGCCTCATGTGGAGGCAGCTCTAAGTCAGAGTCAGGGGTCAGAGGTCAGGCGGGTGTGAGCAGTTGCTGGGCCCAGGTCGTGATGCTGGAGGTGGTCTGCTGCAGTAGTTTCCAGGTGGAGTTAGTGAAGGACACAGCGTGATCCTGAAGACACGACACCGACACCTCACCGCTGCAGACACCACACGTTAGAGTTAGACTGTGCTGATCAGGAACAGAAACATGTGTGAGGTGTAGTACAGACACTGACCTGCAGGAGTGCTGCAGAGCGGCCCAGGCTCGCTGCAGCAGCTCAGACACATGAGCGAGAGCAGGAAGGATGTAGTTCTGATGAAGGAAGAGCAGCAGCTCTGAGAGGAACTCTAGAGCTCTGAACACACTGTCAGGAGTCTTCTCCACCATCTGAGTCACAGACACAGACACAGTCAGTCACTGTCAGGAGTCTTCACCATCTGAGTCACAGACACAGACAGTCACTGTCAGGAGTCTTTCTCCACCATCTGAGTCACAGACACAGACAGTCACTGTCAGGAGTCTTCACCACCATCTGAGTCACAGACACAGACAGTCACTGTCAGGAGTCTTCACCATCTGAGTCACAGACACAGACAGTCACTGTCAGGAGTCTTCACCACCATCTGAGTCACAGACACAGACAGTCACTGTCAGGAGTCTTCTCCACCATCTGAGTCACAGACACAGTCAGTCACTGTCAGGAGTCTTCTCCACCATCTGAGTCACAGACACAGTCAGTCACTGTCAGGAGTCTTCTCCACCATCTGAGTCACAGACACAGACACAGTCAGTCACTGTCAGGAGTCTTCACCATCTGAGTCACAGACACAGACAGTCACTGTCAGGAGTCTTCTCCACCATCTGAGTCACAGACACAGACAGTCACTGTCAGGAGTCTTCTCCACCATCTGAGTCACAGACACAGACACAGTCAGTCACTGTCAGGAGTCTTCACCATCTGAGTCACAGACACAGTCAGTCACTGTCAGGAGTCTTCTCCACCATCTGAGTCACAGACACAGTCAGTCACTGTCAGGAGTCTTCACCATCTGAGTCACAGACACAGACAGTCACTGTCAGGAGTCTTTCTCCACCATCTGAGTCACAGACACAGACAGTCACTGTCAGGAGTCTTCACCATCTGAGTCACAGACACAGTCAGTCACTGTCAGGAGTCTTCTCCACCATCTGAGTCACAGACACAGTCAGTCACTGTCAGGAGTCTTCTCCACCATCTGAGTCACAGACACAGTCAGTCACTGTCAGGAGTCTTCACCATCTGAGTCAGACACAGTCAGTCACTGTCAGGAGTCTTCACCATCTGAGTCACAGACACAGACACAGTCAGTCACTGTCAGGAGTCTTCTCCACCATCTGAGTCACAGACACAGACAGTCACTGTCAGGAGTCTTTCTCCACCATCTGAGTCACAGACACAGACAGTCACTGTCAGGAGTCTTCACCATCTGAGTCACAGACACAGACATCAGTCAGTCACTGTCAGTCAGGAGTCTTCACCATCTGAGTCACAGACACAGACAGTCAGTCACTGTCAGGAGTCTTCTCTCCCATCTGAGTCACAGACACAGACAGTCACTGTCAGGAGTCTTCTCCACCATCTGAGTCACAGACACAGTCAGTCACTGTCAGGAGTCTTCTCCACCATCTGAGTCACAGACACAGACAGTCACTGTCAGGAGTCTTCTCCACCATCTGAGTCCAGACACAGACACAGTCAGTCACTGTCAGGAGTCTTCTCCACCATCTGAGTCACAGACACAGACAGTCACTGCAGTCACCATCTGAGTCACAGACACAGACAGTCACTGTCAGGAGTCTTCTCCACCATCTGAGTCACAGACACAGTCAGTCACTGTCAGGAGTCTTCTCCACCATCTGAGTCACAGACACAGTCAGTCACTGTCAGGAGTCTTCTCCACCATCTGAGTCACAGACACAGACAAGTCAGTCACTGTCAGGAGTCTTCACCATCTGAGTCACAGACACAGACAGTCACTGTCAGGAGTCTTCTCCACCATCTGAGTCACAGACACAGACAGTCACTGTCAGGAGTCTTCTCACCATCTGAGTCACAGACACAGACAGTCACTGTCAGGAGTCAGTCTTTCTTCACCATCTGAGTCACAGACACAGACAGTCAGTCACTGTCAGGAGTCTTTCCACCATCTGAGTCACAGACACAGACAGTCACTGTCAGGAGTCTTCTCCACCATCTGAGTCACAGACACAGTCAGTCACTGTCAGGAGTCTTCTCCACCATCTGAGTCACAGACACAGACACAGTCAGTCACTGTCAGGAGTCTTCACCATCTGAGTCACAGACACAGACAGTCACTGTCAGGAGTCTTCTCCACCATCTGAGTCACAGACACAGTCAGTCACTGTCAGGAGTCTTCACCATCTGAGTCACAGACACAGACAGTCACTGTCAGGAGTCTTCTCCACCATCTGAGTCACAGACACAGACAGTCACTGTCAGGAGTCTTCTCCACCATCTGAGTCACAGACACAGACAGTCACTGTCAGAGTCTTCTCCACCATCTGAGTCACAGACACAGACAGTCACTGTCAGGAGTCTTCTCCACCATCTGAGTCACAGACACAGACAGTCACTGTCAGGAGTCTTCTCCACCATCTGAGTCACAGACACAGACAGTCACTGTCAGGAGTCTTCTCCACCATCTGAGTCACAGACACAGTCAGTCAGTCATCTGTCACGGAGTCTGTCAGGAGTCTTCACCATCTGAGTCACAGACACAGACAGTCACTGTCAGGAGTCTTCTCCACCATCTGAGTCACAGACACAGACAGTCACTGTCAGGAGTCTTCTCCACCATCTGAGTCACAGACACAGTCAGTCACTGTCAGGAGTCTTCACCATCTGAGTCACAGACACAGACAGTCACTGTCAGGAGTCTTTCTCCACCATCTGAGTCACAGACACAGACAGTCACTGTCAGGAGTCTTCTCCACCATCTGAGTCACAGACACAGTCAGTCACTGTCAGGAGTCTTCACCATCTGAGTCACAGACACAGTCAGTCACTGTCAGGAGTCTTCTCCACCATCTGAGTCACAGACACAGTCAGTCACTGTCAGGAGTCTTTCTCCACCATCTGAGTCACAGACACAGACAGTCACTGTCAGGAGTCTTCACCATCTGAGTCACAGACACAGACAGTCACTGTCAGGAGTCTTCTTCACCATCTGAGTCACAGACACAGACACAGTCAGTCACTGTCAGGAGTCTTTCTCCACCATCTGAGTCACAGACACAGACAGTCACTGTCAGGAGTCTTCTCCACCATCTGAGTCACAGACACAGTCAGTCACTGTCAGGAGTCTTCTCCACCATCTGAGTCACAGACACAGACAGTCACTGTCAGGAGTCTTCACCATCTGAGTCACAGACACAGACAGTCACTGTCAGGAGTCTTCTCCACCATCTGAGTCACAGACACAGTCAGTCACTGTCAGGAGTCTTCACCATCTGAGTCACAGACACAGACAGTCACTGTCAGGAGTCTTTCTCCACCATCTGAGTCACAGACACAGACAGTCACTGTCAGGAGTCTTCTCCACCATCTGAGTCACAGACACAGTCAGTCACTGTCAGGAGTCTTTCTCCACCATCTGAGTCACAGACACAGACAGTCACTGTCAGGAGTCTTCACCATCTGAGTCACAGACACAGACAGTCACTGTCAGGAGTCTTCTCCACCATCTGAGTCACAGACACAGTCAGTCACTGTCAGGAGTCTTCACCATCTGAGTCACAGACACAGACAGTCACTGTCAGGAGTCTTTCTCCACCATCTGAGTCACAGACACAGACAGTCACTGTCAGGAGTCTTCACCATCTGAGTCACAGACACAGTCAGTCACTGTCAGGAGTCTTCACCATCTGAGTCACAGACACAGACAGTCACTGTCAGGAGTCTTCTTCACCATCTGAGTCACAGACACAGACACAGTCAGTCACTGTCAGGAGTCTTTCTCCACCATCTGAGTCACAGACACAGACAGTCACTGTCAGGAGTCTTCTCCACCATCTGAGTCACAGACACAGTCAGTCACTGTCAGGAGTCTTCTCCACCATCTGAGTCACAGACACAGACACAGTCAGTCACTGTCAGGAGTCTTCACCATCTGAGTCACAGACACAGACAGTCACTGTCAGGAGTCTTCTCCACCATCTGAGTCACAGACACAGTCAGTCACTGTCAGGAGTCTTCACCATCTGAGTCACAGACACAGACAGTCACTGTCAGGAGTCTTCTCCACCATCTGAGTCACAGACACAGACAGTCACTGTCAGGAGTCTTCACCATCTGAGTCACAGACACAGACAGTCACTGTCAGGAGTCTTCTCCACCATCTGAGTCACAGACACAGTCAGTCACTGTCAGGAGTCTTCTCCACCATCTGAGTCACAGACACAGACAGTCACTGTCAGGAGTCTTCTCCACCATCTGAGTCACAGACACAGTCAGTCACTGTCAGGAGTCTTCACCATCTGAGTCACAGACACAGACAGTCACTGTCAGGAGTCTTTCTCCACCATCTGAGTCACAGACACAGACAGTCACTGTCAGGAGTCTTCTCCACCATCTGAGTCACAGACACAGTCAGTCACTGTCAGGAGTCTTCACCATCTGAGTCACAGACACAGTCAGTCACTGTCAGGAGTCTTCTCCACCATCTGAGTCACAGACACAGACAGTCACTGTCAGGAGTCTTCTCCACCATCTGAGTCACAGACACAGACAGTCACTGTCAGGAGTCTTCTCCACCATCTGAGTCACAGACACAGACAGTCACTGTCAGGAGTCTTCTCCACCATCTGAGTCACAGACACAGTCAGTCACTGTCAGGAGTCTTCACCATCTGAGTCACAGACACAGTCAGTCACTGTCAGGAGTCTTCTTCACCATCTGAGTCACAGACACAGTCAGTCACTGTCAGGAGTCTTCTCCACCATCTGAGTCACAGACATAGGGCCTAAGACTTAGGCCCTGTCCACACGAAGTCAAGCTCAGGCCTAAACGCAAAAATACTTTATCAATCCAGTGTATCGTCCATACGAGGCCGGCGTTTTGGGGGGGTGTAAACGAACATTTTTGAAAGTAGGTCCCAGAGTGGAAAGATTTCAAAACTCCGTATATGCCGCTCCGTGGTTACTGCCTCTCCGCAATGTATCTGAGACGCGTCATCGCCCGCCTCTTGTTAAAGCAGCATGCGCCGCACTCAGAAAATAATGACAACAACAATGTAGCTTGTTGGTTTTGTAATCCAGTGTGACCCGAAGCAACAGTTCAACCTCATCGTCCGTCCATACTAATGTAGTACCAGCTCGCCCACTCGCCATGTTGTCTGTTTACAACATTCTGCACATGCCCAGTTCCCGTCACGGAAGTTTGGGCTTGATCCCGTCATTGCGTCACAGCGCCACCAACAGGTCTGGCATAGTTTCACAGCGTTTTCAGGCGTATTGACTACATTCATATGGATGCACACATTTACTGAGCTAACTCCGTGTTTACAGAAAACGTTTCTGAAATTATAAGCGTTTTGTCTTCGTGTGGATATAGCCACAGTCAGTCACTGTCAGGAGTCTTCTCCACCATCTGAGAGTGGAAATATCACAGACACTGTCACAGACTCACCCAGTCCAGGACCACAGACTCACCCAGTCCAGGACCAGCGGTGTCGTCTGTCGCAGCCACAGAATAAACGTTGTTGTATTTTCGGAGACGTAAAGAGCTGCAGTCTTGGTGGTCTCCAGACCCTGGTCCAGGACCGGGCCCAGGACTCGCACACACTCACTATAATAATGAGGAGTGTTCTTCTCCAACCAGCTGCAGCAAACACACACATGGTACTTTAGTTCCATCAACCAGCTGCAGCAAACACACACATGGTACTTTAGTTCCATCAACCAGCTGCAGCAAACACACACATGGTACATTAGTTCCATCAACCAGCTGCAGCAAACACACACATGGTACATTAGTTCCATCAACCAGCTGCAGCAAACACACACATGGTACATTAGTTCCATCAACCAGCTGCAGCAAACACACACATGGTACTTTAGTTCCATCAACCAGCTGCAGCAAACACACACATGGTACATTAGTTCCATCAACCAGCTGCAGCAAACACACACATGGTACATTAGTTCCATCAACCAGCTGCAGCAAACACACACATGGTACTTTAGTTCCATCAACCAGCTGCAGCAAACACACACATGGTACATTAGTTCCATCAACCAGCTGCAGCAAACACACACATGGTACATTAGTTCCATCAACCAGCTGCAGCAAACACACACATGGTACTGTCTACAACTGACTGTAACTTAAACATAGAAAGTGACTGAAACTTATGTCTTTGTCGTTTGCAGTATTTGTTGCTTTTACCTGAAACTTTCTTTTGAATAAACTGAGACTTTGGCCCAGACTTGTTGAGAAACTGCAGTGACGCCCGAGTTTTTACACAACGCAGCAGTTGTGGAATCTGTAAGAAAAAGCAAGAGTTTTTACTTTTTGACACACACACACACACACACACACACACAAACACAAGTACAAGTTGGTGCTGACCGGTGAAAGATCCGTGTGAGCGGATGTCGTGTGTGATGAAACCAGCAACAAACACCAACAGAACCATGAAGAGTTTGGACCATGGGAACCCTCGGCCTTTCATCTTCACTTCTAGATTCTGGAACCAAGAGAGACATGAACTTTACAAACTGGTCCTGCACTGGGTGGAAAAGGGCGGAGTCTGGTGTGGTCCAGGCCAGGCCTTTCAGGACTGGTTTGACCCCCCCTGGGTCCGATAAGACCAAGATCAGATCTGTCCTTTTATACCAAGTGTGGAGTATTCTCACCAAACGCTACAAGCTCCAGAACCTACTGGACTGTAGAGTCTAAACTGCAGCAGCTAAATGTTTAGATAAAGTGACTGTTGCATGTTGTAAGAGTTGGTGTTTTCAGACCCGTGAACAGCGGCCAGTAATGGTCCAGAACCAGTCACAACAGGGGTCAGTAATGATCCAGAACCAGTCACAACAGGGGTCAGTAATGATCCAGAACCAGTCACAACAGGGGTCAGTAATGATCCAGGACCAGTCACAACAGGGGTCAGTAATGGTCCAGAACCAGTCACAACAGGGGTCAGTAATGGTCCAGAACCAGTCACAACAGGGGTCAGTAATGATCCAGAACCAGTCACAACAGGGGTCAGTAATGGTCCAGAACCAGTCACAACAGGGGTCAGTAATGATCCAGGACCAGTCACAACAGGGGTCAGTAATGATCCAGAACCAGTCACAACAGGGGTCAGTAATGATCCAGAACCAGTCACAACAGGGGTCAGTAATGGTCCAGAACCAGTCACAACAGGAGTCAGTAATGGTCCAGGACCAGTCACAACAGGGGTCAGTAATGGTCCAGAACCAGTCACAACAGGGGTCAGTAATGGTCCAGAACCAGTCACAACAGGGTCAGTAATGATCCAGAACCAGTCACAACAGGAGTCAGTAATGGTCCAGAACCAGTCACAACAGGGGTCAGTAATGGTCCAGAACCAGTCACAACAGGAGTCAGTAATGGTCCAGAACCAGTCACAACAGGGGTCAGTAATGGTCCAGAACCAGTCACAACAGGGGTCAGTAATGATCCAGAACCAGTCACAACAGGGGTCAGTAATGGTCCAGAACCAGTCACAACAGGAGTCAGTAATGGTCCAGGACCAGTCACAACAGGGGTCAGTAATGGTCCAGAACCAGTCACAACAGGGGTCAGTAATGGTCCAGAACCAGTCACAACAGGGGTCAGTAATGATCCAGAACCAGTCACAACAGGAGTCAGTAATGGTCCAGAACCAGTCACAACAGGGGTCAGTAATGGTCCAGAACCAGTCACAACAGGAGTCAGTAATGGTCCAGAACCAGTCACAACAGGGGTCAGTAATGGTCCAGAACCAGTCACAACAGGGGTCAGTAATGATCCAGAACCAGTCACGACAGGAGTCAGTAATGGTCCAGAACCAGTCACAACAGGGGTCAGTAATGATCCAGAACCAGTCACAACAGGGGTCAGTAATGGTCCAGAACCAGTCCCAACAGGGGTCAGTAATGATCCAGAACCAGTCCCAACAGGGGTCAGTAATGGTCCAGAACCAGTCACAACAGGGGTCAGTAATGGTCCAGAACCAGTCACAACAGGGGTCAGTAATGATCCAGAACCAGTCACAACAGGGGTCAGTAATGATCTATTGTTGTTTCACTGCTTCATGAGCTCCAGAAAATTCTCTCTGAGTGCTCCAAGGACAGGCTCAAAAACTCTTGTCCCAACGCCATCAGGCTCTATACAAAGCCACTTCAGGGGGAGCAGGGAGGACCAGGGGGGAGGAGGAGGGAGGAAGGAGGAGGGAGGGAGGAGGAGGGAGGGAGGAGCAGGGGGGAGGAGCAGGGAGGAGGAGGGAGGAGCAGGGAGGAGGAGGAGGGGGGAGTCACACACACATTATGATTGTATGTGTGTGTGACTGTATGTGTGTGTGACTGTATGTGTGTATGACTGTATGTGTGTGTGACTGTATGTGTGTATGTGTGTGTGATTGTATGTGTGTGTGACTGTATGTGTGTATGACTGTATGTGTGTATGAATGTATGATTGTATGTGTGTATGAATGTATGATTGTATGTGTGTGTGTGACTGTATGTGTGTGTGACTGTATGTGTGTATGACTGTATGTGTGTATGAATGTATGACTGTACGTGTGTATGACTGTACGTGTGTAAGACTGTGTGTGTGTGTGATTGTATGTGTGTGTGATTGTATGTGTGTAAGACTGTGTGTGTGTGTGATTGTATGTGTGTGTGATTGTATGTGTGTATGATTGTACGTGTGTATGATTGTACGTGTGTGTGATTGTACGTGTGTGTGATTGTACGTGTGTATGGTTGTACATGTGTATGGTTGTACGTGTGTATGGTTGTACGTGTGTATGACTGTACGTGTGTATGATTGTACGTGTGTATGACTGTACGTGTGTATGACTGTACGTGTGTATGACTGTACGTGTGTATGACTGTATGTGTGTATGACTGTATGTGTGTATGACTGTATGTGTGTATGGTTATATGTGTGTATGATTGTATGTGTGTATGATTGTATGTGTGTATGATTGTATGTGTATATGATTGTATGTGTGTGTGATTGTATTTGTGTATGACTGTATTTGTGTATGACTGTATGTGTGTGTGACTGTATGTGTGTATGTGACGGTATGTGTGTATGATTATATGTGTGTATGATTGTATGTGTATATGATTGTATGTGTGTGTGTGTGACTGTATTTGTGTATGACTGTATGTGTGTGTGATTGTATATGTGTATGACTGTACGTGTGTATGACTGTATGTGTGTATGGTTGTATGTGTGTATGGTTGTATGTGTGTATGGTTGTATGTGTGTATGGTTGTATGTGTGTATGACTGTATTTGTGTATGGCTGTATGTGTGTGTGACTATGTGTGTATGTGTGTGTGACTGTATGTGTGTATGATTGTATGTTTGTATGATTATATGTGTGTATGATTGTATGTGTATATGATTGTATGTGTGTGTGTGTATGACTGTATTTGTGTATGACTGTACGTGTGTATGACTGTACGTGTGTATGATTGTATGTGTGTATGGTTGTATGTGTGTATGGTTGTATGTGTGTATGGTTGTATGTGTGTATGGTTGTATGTGTGTATGATTGTATGTGTGTATGACTGTATTTGTGTATGACTGTATTTGTGTATGACTGTATGTGTGTATGACTGTGTGTGTGACTGTATGTGTGTGTGACTGTACGTGTGTATGACTGTATTTGTGTATGACTGTATGGCTGTATGTGTGTATGACTGTATTTGTGTATGACTATGTGTGTATGACTGTATTTGTATATGACTGTATTTGTGTATGACTGTACGTGTGTATGACTGTATGTGTGTATGACTGTATTTGTGTATGACTGTATGTGTGTATGACTATGTGTGTATGACTGTATTTGTATATGACTGTATTTGTGTATGACTATGTGTGTATGACTGTATTTGTGTATGACTGTATTTGTGTATGACTGTATTTGTGTATGACTGTATTTGTGTATGACTGTATTTGTGTATGACTGTATTTGTGTATGACTGTATTTGTGTATGACTGTATTTGTGTATGACTATGTGTGTATGACTGTATTTGTATATGACTGTATTTGTATATGACTCTATGTGTGTATGACTGTATTTGTGTATGACTGTATGTGTGTGTGACTGTATTTGTGTATGACTGTATGTGTGTGTGACTGTACGTGTGTGTGACTGTACGTGTGTATGATTGTCTGTTTGAGAGCTAGGGACCAATACACAATTTCTTTTGGGATCAATAAAGTATATATTTATCTAAACTGAATCTAATTGGTCCAAAGAAAATAACTTTTCTCTCGGTGCTCGTTTGTTTGACTCTTCAACACACTTGGAGCTTTTATAAACAAAGTTATTCTCAGAGTGTGTTTTTTGTCTCAGCTGGTGGTGTGTCATAGGATCGTTTCTCCAATGACTCAAAAATGAACAAAACAAAGCCCTGTTGACTCGTGATGATCAAAGCCCTCTGGTGAATCCAATCTATTTTGACAAGACCATTCCTACTAAAAATAATAAATAAATAAGTGGCTGCTCTGACAACAATCACATAAAACATGTCCTGTGCATTTCTCTGCTCTCTCTGATCGGCTGTCTGCTGTTCACATAAACACACTGGAGAGCTGTGTGTAAATCCCCCTCCCAGACCCTAGGGGGAGCTCTAACAACAGAGGTCTTCCTGAGTAGTGGTCGATCCTCCGGCAGTTACGACATACAGTGTATGTTTCCACATGTGACATCACAGAACACAGTATTAACCCTGATGGTTGGTCTGGTCCGAGTCTCACCTGACAAAGATGACTACATTCTTGGAGCTCCTCAGACTCGATGCTGCCCTTCATCTCCTCATTTGTCACTCTGAAGGACTGGATAGTTTCTCCAAGGTTTTTCCTCAGCTGAAGAGACGTGAGAGTCGTGAATACATCCATGATCACACCTCTGTAGGAGGTTTATGTGAACAGAGACTAACAAACCTTTGGTGGGAGGGTCTTCCAGGACTTCAGTAAGTGGTTCAACAGCAGACTGTGGACAGAGGACATCATGGTCATGTGACAGAGGAGATCATGGTCATGTGACAGAGGAGATCATGGTCATGTGACAGAGGAGATCATGGTCATGTGACAGAGGAGATCATGGTCATGTGACAGAGGAGATCATGGTCATGTGACAGAGGAGATCATGGTCATGTGACAGAGGAGATCATGGTCATGTGACAGAGGAGATCATGGTCATGTGACAGAGGAGATCATGATCATGTGACAGAGGAGATCATGATCATGTGACAGAGGAGATCATGGTCATGTGACAGAGGAGATCATGGTCATGTGACAGAGGAGATCATGGTCATGTGACAGAGGAGATCATGGTCATGTGACAGAGGAGATCATGGTCATGTGACAGAGGAGATCATGGTCATGTGACAGAGGAGATCATGGTCATGTGACAGAGGAGATCTGTATGTGACAGGAATCATGTCTGTGCAGAGAGAATCATGATGGGAGGAGATCATGGTCATGTGACAGAGGAGATCATGGTCATGTGACAGAGGAGATCATGGTCATGTGACAGAGGAGATCATGGTCATGTGCAGAGAGGAGATCATGGTCATGTGACAGAGGAGATCATGGTCATGTGACAGAGGAGATCATGGTCATGTGACAGAGGAGATCATGGTCAGTCATGTGACAGAGGAGATCATGGTCATGGCATGTCATGACAGAGGAGATCATGGTCATGTGTGACAGAGGAGATCATGGTCATGTGACAGAGGAGATCATGGTCATGTGACAGAGGAGATCATGATCATGTGACAGAGGAGATCATGGTCATGTGACAGAGGAGATCATGGTCATGTGACAGAGGAGATCATGGTCATGTGACAGAGGAGATCATGGTCATGTGACAGAGGAGATCATGGTCATGTGAGGCATGAGATCAGTCATGTGACAGAGGAGATCATGGTCATGTGACAGAGGAGATCATGGTCATGTGACAGAGGAGATCATGGTCATGTGACAGAGGAGATCATGGTCATGTGACAGGAGATCATGGTCATGTGACAGAGGAGATCATGGTCATGTGACAGAGGAGATCATGGTCATGTGACAGAGGAGATCATGGTCATGTGACAGAGGAGATCATGGTCATGTGACAGAGGAGATCATGGTCATGTGACAGAGGAGATCATGGTCATGTGACAGAGGAGATCATGGTCATGTGACAGAGGAGATCATGGTCATGTGACAGAGGAGATCATGGTCATGTGACAGAGGAGATCATGGTCATGTGACAGAGGAGATCATGGTCATGTGACAGAGGAGATCATGGTCATGTGACAGAGGAGATCATGGTCATGTGACACAGGTTCAGTTAGAGCAACAGCAGACTGTGCAGCGTACCTGGACTGTGGTAAGTGTTTAGTGTAAAGCTGTCTCCAAACTCCCAGACTCTGTGCATCCACACGCAAGCACTCGGTCATACTGCACAGGAGCTGCAACACACAACACACAAGGTACAGGGTTATAACACAACAGTGCAACACACAACACACAGGGTACAGGGTTATAACACATACAGAGGAGCTGCAACACACAACACACAGGGTCATATCACAACAACACAACAACAAACACATAGGAGCCATAGATCCAGGACTCTGCCTCTAGACCTGGGCCTCTAGACCTGGGCCTCTAGACCTGGGCCTCTAGACCTGGGCCTCTAGACCTGGGCCTCTAGACTTGGGCCTCTAGACCTGGGCCTCTAGACCTGGGCCTCTAGACCTGGGCCTCTAGACCTGGGCCTCTAGACCTCATAGAAGCAGACTCTCAGCAGACTCACCTCTCTCTTCATGTCGTCAGGACAGTGCGGCGTGGCCCGGGACAGAAACGACGGCAGGTACGTGTGCAGCGTGGACTCTGGCTTTGCTCCGAACGCCAGGACCTTTAACCGAGGGTAAAGCCGCCGCAGCTGCTCCTGCAAACTGCACAGACAATACTTATATATATACATATATATATAATATATATATATATATATGTATCTCCACAGCTACATGAAACTGTGGCTCTAACGTGTGGTGAACATCTCTTTCTATCACATTGAGCTGGTCCAGTTTCTAACGAGTTATTAGAAAAACAACCTGTTTTTGATGAATGATTTTATGACAGATTTTGGCTCTTGGCACTTTTTATGAACTAGAAATACATGTTTACGCTTTGATATGGCAAAGATCAAAGCGTTGCTATAGCGACGGTGATACAAACGTTATTTTCCTGAGGCTGCACCCCCGCAAAGCTCCTGGCCCGGACCACGTGTCTCCGGCCACTCTGAGACACTGCGCCAGTGAGCTTACTCCTGTGTTCACGGACATTTTCAACTCCTCTCTGCAGTCCTGCCATGTCCCGGCCTGCTTCAAATCCTCCATCATTGTCCCCGTCCCGAAGAAGCCCAGGATCACAGGACTCAATGACTACAGACCTGTAGCACTTACGTCTGTCGTCATGAAGTCATTTGAACGCCTGGTTCTCTCCCATCTCAAGTCCCTCACCTCCCCCCTCCTGGACCCCCTGCAGTTCGCCTACAGAGCCAACAGATCTGTAGACGACGCCATTAACCTGGCCCTCCACCACATCCTACAGCACCTGGACTCCCCGGGACCTACGCCAGGGTCCTGTTCGTGGACTTCAGCTCTGCCTTCAACACAATCCTGCCATCCCTGCTCCAGGACAAGCTCTCCCAGCTCAACGTGCCCGATTCCACCTGCAGGTGGATCACTGACTTCCTGACGGACAGGAAGCAGCGAGTGCGTCTGGGGAAGAATGTCTCGGACTCTCGGATTATAAATACAGGAGCCCCACAGGGCTGTGTTCTTTCTCCCCTGCTCTTCTCCCTGTACACCAACCACTGCACCTCCAGCCACGACTCCGTGAAGCTGATCAAGTTCGCGGACGACACCACCCTCATTGGACTCATCTCCAACAACGATGAGTCCGCCTACAGGAGGGAGGTGGACCGGCTGGTGTCCTGGTGCAGTGGTAACAACCTGGAGCTGAACGCCCAGAAGACAGTGGAGATGATTGTGGACTTCAGGAAGAGCACTGTCCCCCCGCCCCCACCCTCCGTGATGGACTCCCCCATCACCTCTGTGGAGTCCTTCCGTTTCCTGGGCACCACCATCACCCAGGACCTCAAGTGGGAGCCGACCATCAGCTCCCTCATCAAGAAGGCCCAGCAGAGGATGTACTTCCTGCGGCAGCTCAGGAAAGCCAAGCTGCCTGCACAGATGTTGGTGCAGTTCTACACGGCCATCATCGAGTCCATCCTCACCTCCTCCATCACCGTGTGGTTCGCTGGAGCCACAGTCAGGGACAAACAGAGACTACAGCGCATTGTGCGCTCTGCAGAGGAAGTGATCGGCCGCAGCCTTCCATCGCTGCAGGACCTGTACGTCGCCCGAGCTCGAGGCCGGGCTGGTCGTATCACAGCCGACCCCTCTCACCCTGCACATGGACTATTCCAACCACTCCCCTCAGGCAGGAGGCTGCGGTCCATCAGGACTAGAACCTCCCGCCACAAGAACAGTTTCTTCCCCTCTGCTGTTGGACTCTTGAACACTTCTTAACCTGTCCCCCCGCCCTTTATAAAGTCACTTTACTGCCCATCATACGTCACTTTACTTCACTGTACTGCTGTCACCTTACATTGTGTGCACCATGTGCACTTGTATATTGTAAATAGTAACTGTAACTCTATTTTAAATTTAAATTTATTCTTTAGAAGTGTTTTTTATTCTTATTTTTATTATCTCTTTTTGACTGTTGCACTGAGCCAAAGCAATTTCCAAGTCTGTGACCTCCCGTTACTTACGTTGGCAATAAAAATGATTCTGATTCTGATTCTGATTCTGATTTTCTGCTGAATCAGTGGTTACCTCGATGACAGGGCGTTTTTAGGCATGAAGGCAAAGTCCAGTAAAGGAAAGAACTCTTTAGGGCCCATGATGCCAAAGCCCTTTGTGAGGTTTGCATGAAGTCTGAAGAAAAAAATAAAACACTATTATAATAAACATCAAACACATCAAAGACTCATTTATCGCTGGGATACAATCTAAAAATAACTTTCATTTAACACAATCCATGATTTAGCAGCTGTTTGTTCTAAAGCTGTAAAACTGAGGTTACGTGTGTAACCACGGTTCTATGAATCTCCTGACCACCAGAGGGCGGTGCATAGCACTGAATGTTCCCTACGCATGCGTGAAGAGAACATTCAGTGCTATGCACCGCCCTCTGGTGGTCAGGAGGGATGAAATAGAACGCACTTTATACTCTAAACAAAAGTAAGTTATGGAGGTGACGTACAAGAGAAGCCTTTCCAAATACGCAAGAGCATATGAAGACAGAGACTTGACTCCTAACACCGGCAGCATGATCCCCAGCCACACTGCAACACAACATCATCATTAGTAACACACATGACACACACACGACACACAACACGACACACAACATGTGAATTTGAATCCTGGGTTTACCTCAACAACTAAACAGGAAGTCCTATTTTACATTGGATTTTGTAAATTTATTTGCAAAATAATTTCCTGTTTTGTGCCTTTTGTTACAATGGAAATAAAAACAATTATGATTCTCTTTTGAGAATCAGAATAATTGTTCCTTATCCTAAACTATTGACCCTTTATGAAACAATGTTCATCCAAGATTGGTCAAATAAACTAAAATAAGTGTTGGTGCAAAATGTAATATGGATTCCTGATGTATTTAACTGTGTGACTAGCATAGCATCAGAGTCACAGACTGATGGACTGTGTGACTAGCATAGCATCAGAGCCACAGACTGATGGACTGTGTGACTAGCATCCAGAGAACCTGACAGAGAACCTGACAGAGAACCTGACAGAGAACCTGACAGAGAACCTACAGAGAACCTGACAGAGAACCTGACAGAGAACCTGACAGAGAACCTACAGAGAACCTGCAGAGAACCTGACAGAGAACCTGCAGAGAACCTGCAGAGAACCTGACAGAGAACCTGACAGAGAACCTGCAGAGAACCTGACAGAGAACCTGACAGAGAACCTGACAGAGAACCTGACAGAGAACCTACAGAGAACCTGACAGAGAACCTGACAGAGAACCTGACAGAGAACCTACAGAGAACCTGACAGAGAACCTGACAGAGAACCTGACAGAGAACCTGACAGAGAACCTACAGAGAACCTGCAGAGAACCTGACAGAGAACCTGACAGAGAACCTGCAGAGAACCTGACAGAGAACCTGACAGAGAACCTACAGAGAACCTGACAGAGAACCTGACAGAGAACCTGACGAGAGAGACCCTACAGAGAACCTGACAGAGAACCTACAGAGAACCTGCAGAGAACCTGACAGAGAACCTGACAGAGAACCTGCAGAGAACCTGACAGAGAACCTGACAGAGAACCTGACAGAGAACCTGACAGAGAACCTACAGAGAACCTGACAGAGAACCTGACAGAGAACCTGACAGAGAACCTGACAGAGAACCTACAGAGAACCTGACAGAGAACCTGACAGAGAACCTGACAGAGAACCTACAGAGAACCTGCAGAGAACCTGACAGAGAACCTGACAGAGAACCTGCAGAGAACCTGACAGAGAACCTGACAGAGAACCTGACAGAGAACCTGACAGAGAACCTACAGAGAACCTGACAGAGAACCTGACAGAGAACCTACAGAGAACCTGCAGAGAACCTGACAGAGAACCTGCAGAGAACCTGCAGAGAACCTGACAGAGAACCTGACAGAGAACCTGCAGAGAACCTGACAGAGAACCTGACAGAGAACCTGACAGAGAACCTGAACCTACAGAGAACCTGACAGAGAACCTGACAGAGAACCTGAGAGAGAACCTACAGAGAACCTGACAGAGAACCTGACAGAGAACCTGACAGAGAACCTGCAGAGAACCTGACAGAGAACCTGACAGAGAACCTGCAGAGAACCTGACAGAGAACCTGACAGAGAACCTGACAGAGAACCTGACAGAGAACCTGACAGAGAACCTGCAGAGAACCTGCAGAGAACCTGACAGAGAACCTGACAGAGAACCTGCAGAGAACCTGACAGAGAACCTGACAGAGAACCTACATAGAACCTGACAGAGAACCTGACAGAGAACCTGACAGAGAACCTACAGAGAACCTGACAGAGAACCTGACAGAGAACCTGCAGAGAACCTGACAGAGAACCTGACAGAGAACCTACATAGAACCTGACAGAGAACCTGACAGAGAACCTGACAAAGAACCTGACAGAGAACCTACAGAGAACCTGACAGAGAACCTGACAAAGAACCTGACAGTGAACCTGACAGAGAACCTGACAGAGAACCTGACAGAGAACCTGACAGAGAACCTACAGAGAACCTGACAGAGAACCTGACAGAGAACCTGACAGAGAACTTGCAGAGAACCTGACAGAGAACCTGACAGAGAACCTACATAGAACCTGACAGAGAACCTGACAGAGAACCTGACAGAGAACCTACAGAGAACCTACAGAGAACCTGACAGAGAACCTGACAGAAAACCTGACAGAGAACCTGACAGAGAACCTACAGAGAACCTGACAGAGAACCTGACAGAGAACCTGACAGAGAACCTGACAGAGAACCTGACAGAGAACCTGACAGAGAACCTACAGAGAACCTGACAGAGAACCTACAGAGAACCTGACAGAGAACCTAACAGAGAACCTGACAGAGAACCTGACAGAGAACCTGACAGAGAACCTGACAGAGAACCTGACAGAGAACCTACAGAACCTAAGAGAACCTACAGAGAACCTGACAAAGAACCTGACAGAGAACCTACAGAGAACCTGACAGAGAACTTGACAGAGAACCTACAGAGAACCTGACAGAGAACCTGACAGAGAACCTACAGAGAACCTACAGAGAACCTGACAGAGAACTTGACAGAGAACCTTCCGAGAACCTGACAGAGAACCTGACAGAGAACCTGACAGAGAACCTACAGAGAACCTACAGAGAACCTACAGAGAGAACCTGAGAGAGAACCTGACAGAGAACCTGACAGAGAACCTACAGAGAACCTGACAGAGAACCTACATAGAACCTACATAGAACCTGACAGAGAACCTACAGAGAACCTGACAGAGAACCTACAGAGAACCTGACAGAGAACCTACAGAGAACCTGACAGAGAACCTGACAGAGAACCTGACAGAGAACCTGACAGAGAACCTGACAGAGAACCTACATAGAACCTACATAGAACCTGACAGAGAACCTACAGAGAGAACCTGACAGAGAACCTACAGAGAACCTGACAGAGAACCTACAGAGAACCTGACAGAGAACCTGACAGAGAACCTGACAGAGAACCTGCAGAGAACCTGCAGAGAACCTGACAGAGAACCTGACAGAGAACCTGCAGAGAACCTGACAGAGAACCTGACAGAGAACCTGACAGAGAACCTGACAGAGAACCTGACAGAGAACCTGACAGAGAACCTGCAGAGAACCTGCAGAGAACCTGACAGAGAACCTGACAGAGAACCTGACAGAGAACCTGACAGAGAACCTGACAGAGAACCTACCTGACAGAGAACCTGACAGAGAACCTGACAGAGAACCTGACAGAGAACCTGACAGAGAACCTGACAGAGAACCTGACAGAGAACCTGCAGAGAACCTGACAGAGAACCTGACAGAGAACCTACATAGAACCTACAGAGAACCTGACAGAGAACCTGACAGAGAACCTGACAGAGAACCTGACAGAGAACCTGACAGAGAACCTGACAAAGAACCTGACAGTGAACCTGACAGAGAACCTGACAGAGAACCTGACAGAGAACCTGACAGAGAACCTGACAGAGAACCTACAGAGAACCTGACAGAGAATCTAGAGAACTTGCAGAGAAACTGACAGAGAACCTGACAGAGAACCTACATAGAACCTGACAGAGAACCTGACAGAGAACCTGACAGAGAACCTACAGAGAACCTACAGAGAACCTGACAGAGAACCTGACAGAAAACCTGACAGAGAACCTGACAGAGAACCTACAGAGAACCTGACAGAGAACCTGACAGAGAACCTGCAGAGAACCTGACAGAGAACCTGACAGAGAACCTACATAGAACCTGACAGAGAACCTGACAGAGAACCTGACAAAGAACCTGACAGAGAACCTACAGAGAACCTGACAGAGAACCAGAGACCTACAAGAACCTGACAGTGAACCTGACAGAGAACCTGACAGAGAACCTGACAGAGAACCTGACAGAGAACCTACAGAGAACCTGACAGAGAACCTGACAGAGAACCTGACAGAGAACTTGCAGAGAACCTGACAGAGAACCTGACAGAGAACCTACATAGAACCTGACAGAGAACCTGACAGAGAACCTGACAGAGAACCTACAGAGAACCTACAGAGAACCTGACAGAGAACCTGACAGAAAACCTGACAGAGAACCTGACAGAGAACCTACAGAGAACCTGACAGAGAACCTGACAGAGAACCTGACAAAGAACCTGACAGAGAACCTACAGAGAACCTGACAGAGAACCTACAGAGAACCTGACAGAGAACCTAACAGAGAACCTGACAGAGAACCTAACAGAGAACCTGACAGAGAACCTGACAGAGAACCTGACAGAGAACCTGACAGAGAACCTGACAGAGAACCTACAGAGAACCTACAGAGAACCTGACAAAGAAACCTGACAGAGAACCTACAGAGAACCTGACAGAGAACTTGACAGAGAACCTACAGAGAACCTGACAGAGAACCTGACAGAGAACCTACAGAGAACCTACAGAGAACCTGACAGAGAACTTGACAGAGAACCTTCCGAGAACCTGACAGAGAACCTGACAGAGAACCTACAGAGAACCTACAGAGAACCTACAGAGAACCTGAGAGAGAACCTGACAGAGAACCTGACAGAGAACCTACAGAGAACCTGACAGAGAACCTACATAGAACCTACATAGAACCTGACAGAGAACCTACAGAGAACCTGACAGAGAACCTACAGAGAACCTGACAGAGAACCTACAGAGAACCTGACAGAGAACCTGACAGAGAACCTGACAGAGAACCTACAGAGAACCTGACAGAGAACCTACATAGAACCTACATAGAACCTGACAGAGAACCTACAGAGAACCTGACAGAGAACCTACAGAGAACCTGACAGAGAACCTGACAGAGAACCTGACAGAGAACCTGACAGAGAACCTGACAGAGAACCTGCAGAGAACCTGCAGAGAACCTGACAGAGAACCTGACAGAGAACCTGCAGAGAACCTGACAGAGAACCTGACAGAGAACCTGACAGAGAACCTGACAGAGAACCTGACAGAGAACCTGACAGAGAACCTGCAGAGAACC